GCCTCAGGGCTGACATGGTACCATGGGTTGCGGTACGCCTGAAACATCTTTCGGGTGGTTAAAAGTGGCTGCATTTTTGGGGTCAGGAAATTAAGGAACTTGTGATGTGTGTCTTCGTTATCCATAGCTATCCATGGCTGTCCACGGCCATAATCAAAAAACAACTTATCCATAGTTATATCCGAGTTATATCCCCTGTCACTAACGGGACCATGACTTGCCAAAGATCTCAGCTCTACCAAGTCTGCGACCAATCTGCAACCAGCAAGCTCTAGGCGATGTTGAGGGGTCAACGGCAGTGGGTGACGTAATCTTTAGGACGATTGAAGGGAGAGTTCAGGAGAAGGCGCTTAGATCCTGCCGAAGATGTCATTAAATTCGACTTGGGTGTTTTCACAGCTCCGTATGACGCTAGCGAAGATCTTGGTTGAATTCAGCCCAGAGTCGCCAGCAAATGAAGGCAGGGCTCACTCCATGATTTGGCTTGTACAGATCGGATGGATCAAAACTATCCAAACATTCTCTTCCGATGGGGGGATTACGTGACTAGTGACTAGATATTTTGATGTGAAAATCCGGATGCTGGGATTTTGACCAATGCCCAAATTCTCATGCGCTCATGATGTGAGACTTTGTGTCAAAATAAATATAGGGTACCTCGGTACCTCCATTCTTTCAGATGGTCTACCATTTTTTTCCCCTGTTGAAGTGCCAATTTTGGGTACACTCCAACGAAAAAATGGCTATGGAGATCCATCGGTTTCCCGGGGAAATGATCAATGGTTGATTTTCCATATGTCGATTATCGATGTTAGTTTACTTTATTTATGAGGGGTATCCTTTGTTTTTGTTACTTTGTTAGTTTACTTATCGATGTTATGGAGGCATCGATGTTGTGGATTTTCCATATTGATTGTATAATCATGGTATCCTTGATTTTACGATAAAGCCATGACATGTGCATTCCGTGATCTGACTGGCAAGGCCAGTCCGGCAAGAGCAGGTGCAGCCATGGCGCGGGCAAGAGAAGGGCTGATTTGACCAAGTTATATACTAAATATGGGGAATCCCCGAAACTATGGGTTTCAATACTAACATGGTCTAATTTGATTGATTTGGGGGTACCAGCATTTGAGGAAACCTCCAAATAGATACGTTCATGCATATCTATGCATATGCATATCTATGCATAATATGCATATCTATGCATAATATGCATATCTATGCATATCTAGTATTGTAATCTTGTGTATATATATATATGACATAGCGGCCAGGAAGGGGGTGCTGCCCGGCGAAGGATTTTAACAGCGCCGGGCCAGTGTTTTTTGCAAATTGGTATGTCGGTGACATGGCAACTTGGCTGACGAGACTTGTTTCCAAACACAAGACCCTAAACCCTAGACCCTAAGTCCAAAACGCTAGAACCAAAATCTGACATGAAACCCAAAGTAAGCCTTGAATGTAAAATCTTATTAAAAGCGTAGTAAAAACATGTAAAAACCCTAATAATCCGCAACGAAACCCTGAATAAACTCTAAACAAAGAGTTGGTCCCACGATAAACCTCTGGGCAGCAACCCGGGCCTGCGCGATACATATACATATATATATATATACACAAACATACAAACATGGAACACCACATCTGAATCTGGGGAGTTGAAAAACAACATTCATTGACCCTCAAAATTGGGTGATCCAATTTTTAGTCGCCAATTTCGGAGCCAGGCCCAAAGTCGGCGTGCAAGAGTCCGAAAACGCAGACGTTCGGACTTGGAGGAGCCAGACGGAGATGAAGTTGATTAAGTCATGTCATGGTGAGGGTGCAGGAGAAGAACTTAATCCTTTCCCCTAACATTCAATACACCCATAAGGGCCCAATGAATAGATCCAATGAATAGATCCAGTGAATAGATCCAATGAATAGATCCAATGAATAGATCTAATGAATAGATCCAATGAATAGATACAATACTAGTCAAGGGTTTGTAAGGTGGTATTCAATATTAGGGGGGAAGAGATAATTGGAAAATGTGGACTCATCGTGTAGTTTTGAATTTACAGTACTTCGAAATAAACAATATGTTTGTTTGTTTATCAGCATCGCTTCAAAGGAATCGAGGCGGTTTGACATCAGCATCGCTTCCAAGTAGTGTCCGTCTCCAAAAGGTAACCCCCGCTACCTCAAATTCCGTGGGCTTATCATCAGTTTCCCTTAAGAAACCTGCCATGAATTGTGGTAAATACTTGTAATACCCCATTTTCAGACAAGTCCGAAAAGCATATCAAGTCGGCTGTATGTAATGTAATGGAATGGAATGCAACCCAACGCAACGCCACGTAATGTAATATATGTATGTATCTATAAACCCATCCAATTTTAAATACACATCCCAGAAAGTATACACATGAAATATTGCCCTAAACAAATCCTAATAAATTTGATGAACATAGATAAGAAAACGATAGCAATAATATGAATAGTATTCCCCGATGTAATAATCACTAATTTCATTAATAATCATATATGTCACAGCAATATCAATATATAAAGTAATAGTTTATATTATCAATAGAATACTGATAATGAGAACAATATATTAACTGTTATATACGTACTACTATTTACTACTATTATTATCATTATATATATTAATAATAATAATCATTATATATATATTAATAATAATAATCATTATATATATTAATAATAATAATCATTATTATTATTATTACGAACATATAGTATTACTAATAACATTAACTATTATAGTGGATATGGGGATATCAATAATTTTGATAAGGAAACATCTATCCATATCCTGTCACGCTCTTTGATTTTAGGTGGAGGAGCCACTACATTTCGACCTGCCACGGCGGCTCACCAAGCAGGCCCTGAAAAAAATGCGGCTCCTTTTGGGATGCGACTGCAGGAAATGGATGTTATTGCTGTTTATTGCTTTTGCATTTTTTTTCGAAGTTCGTTTTTTCTAATGAGTCTAGAAATTTCGATTAGGGTTTCGTGTAGGAGCACCATACAAGCTTGCTCTTCACTGAAGACGGAACTGCGAGAAAGCTGATTTCAGCAACCAGGTAACAAAGATCTACCGCCCCTCTGTATTTTTTTTTCCTACAGCCCCAAATTTTGATGGTTTCTAAAACCCCAATGGGTCACTTGTATTCTTCTCTGCTTATTTGCTGCAAGGTCTTGATTTCATTCTCACTGCCCAGAACCCGGCCTGTAGGAAAGTGCAGAAGTGCGTGAAGAGATTTCTTCGGCCTTGGCTTCACTTAAGATAGAGGTGAGATTTTCAGGGTGATCTGGGAGGAGGAAACAGCAAATTGGCACAGTCCAGGGTGATCCATCCAAGTTCAATCAATGTGCGCAAATACATATATATTATATTATATTATATAATAATAAAAAATAATACAATATAATGTAATGTCATGTAATGTAATGTAATATAACATACGATAATACTGTATATACTATATAATAATCAATACATAATAAATAATATATAATATATGATATATAGTATATAATATATAACATAAAATATAAAATATAACATATAAAATATAAAAGAAAAAATATATACTATATAATATATAATATATAATATGTAATATGTAATACATAGTATTAAATATTTAATATATAACATATTATATCATGTTGTGTTATGTCATGTCATGTTGTGTTATATCATATTATATTATGTCGTGTTGTGTCGTGCTAAGTTATATGTTATGTTGCGTTACGTTATATTAATTTATGTGGCGTGTTGTGTTGTGTTATATCATATTATACCACATCACATTATATCGCACCAAATTATATATCACATTACATTACATTATATTAATTTATACAGCACGCCATATTATATTATATCATATTATATTATATTATATTATACTATATTATAATATAGTATATATGTGTGTATATATATATATATGTATATTTACAATTTCTATGTACAGTATATTTTTTTTTTCTATATTACACAACCTAATGCTATGCAATGCAACACCACGCGGTGCAATGCCATGCAACCCAATGTCGGATAGGTATATGGGAATGTAGGTAGATAAGTAGATAGGTAGAGAGGAAAATAGGTGGATGGATGGATGGATGGATGGATGGATGGATGGATGGATGGATGGATAGACTATGTACGGTTTTTGGCCTCAGGTAGTTGAATCATTGAATGACGCACTTCTGTTTAGCCTTGAAGTCTGTCATTTCTTCGGACAGGGTGACAGCTCCCAAAACCCATGAGTCATGGAAACCTCCAAGCGACCCATCAACTGCCAGGCAGCGGCAATCCCACAGAGAGCTGAGGAGCTTGGAGATTGCGCAACGCGGCAATTTAACAAAGCTCTGGAAAATCACCACTTAAGAGGTAAATCATGTATCAACGGGCCGTTTTCCATAGCTATGTTAAATTACCAGAGGGTATAGTAAACAGATGCAGTTTCAAGAAGTTCAATAGATTTCAAAAATACAGAGTGGGGAAGTCGGAGCTGAATCAACGTCCATCACCAGGATATTGATCCAGCCGAATTACGACTGCGAACAAAGGCCCTGCGGCATGAGCTGTCGCTCTTTTGAATTGTTTTCCTTAGTTTTCTTTCATTCAACTCATTGAGACTCCATGGATTTTGGGGTCTTGGGGGAGCTAAGGAACCAAGGATGATGAAAATCCCCACCAAATCGGGAGATATGGGGAGCAAAGGAGCCCAGCCCCCAGAAATTGATCAAAGACCCACCTTGAGGTCGAGCTGCTCTGCAATCTGCGGATAGATGCCGGACCCGTGGAAGTTGCACAGGCCGGCCCGTGGAGGACCCGTTCTCTCGGTGCCCGTCGCGCGGTTGCACCGTTGCACCGTTGCACCGTTGCACTGTTGCGAGCTCCGCAGGTCTTGCGATTGCTGATAGAAAGCTATGAGACAGCTGAACGTGATGCCAAGGCATGGTGCCGTTGAGGTCCAGCTCACTGGAGCTCCACATTGCACCAAGCTTTATGGGTATGGCATTCCTGTTTCACTGCTTTTGATTGCCCAAAGGGGGGATGCAACTTCTGTTGCAGGAAAGAGGGGCTACCATCTCAGAGGAGTTCTTTCGACTAGCTCAGCAGGAGGAGCGCTTGATTTTTTTTTTGAAGATCTGAGCCTAGGAGGTAGCGTCAAAGGTGGATGTAGCAGGACAGCAGCAGGATACAAAAGTTTGCAGAATCATTTTCCAATCCAGACCGTTCCAGATCCTGTCTCATGCTCCATTCTCGCAACTTCCGATAGTTTCAGACGGATGATATGGACAAGGATTGACCACCTGGACCTACGGTCCTCAGCCGCTCTGGCACCATTGCCTCTTAGCCCGTCTTCCTTTTTGAAAACCATGAGAAACAAATCCGAGCGATTGCCCATGATAACCAGCAGAAGGAAAAAGAAGAAGAAGAGGAACAAGAAGACAGGATACAAAAAGCAGAAACACCCAAGTTTGTGCAACGGTCTTTCGGAGCAGCCGGGAAAAAACATGTCAGGCAGGTAGGCCCCTGGTGAATTGAATGTTTTTCCGAATTGAGACGATAATCATCAAATGGGGAAAGATAACCACAAGATTTAAGAGCATCACCAAACAGCAGAGGACTGCTAATACTTTTAAACCACCAAAAACTGAGTTTGTCAAAAAAGGCGGGGTACACCAGATCCATTCGTTTCATGGTGTTCTCGGTGTTCCCCAGGGCCCTATGAAAAATGCCACAACTTGGGGTTCACTGGTTTGCCCCAATTTTGGGCAAACCCAGAAATCATATCGTTGGACATATATATATATATATATATAGTGTATATTATATTCGTTGACATGATTCAGCTAGATCCCCATTCTATTTCCCCACAACTAAGGTTGCTTTGATATATCAATTCTACCTCCGTGTTTGGACCAAACCAAAAATTACATCAAGTTGATTAGAAAAAATCCCATGATACTCCCATCATATCCCATAAACTGTTGCTTAACCAAGGTAAACTAGCAGTTCGATGTGGAAAATCAACCATTTGTAGATAATTATCCTAGGGTTTTCCCATAGGTTTTCCACATCTATGTTAGTTGCCCATGAAATCCGCATTAAATCCCTATGAAATCCCAATTAAATCACCATAGATCCCATAAAATCACCACAAATGGTTGGTTAAATCATGTCAAATCCCCCAGTTTCCCCAGTTTCCACGCCCAGCTTGCAGGAGGGCTTGGGCCTGGCTGCCGTGCTGCGGCGCGCGGCAGTTCTGCGTCAATGCCTGGCTCCGGAGGTGCCCTAATATGAAACACCCCCTTTCTATCCCCTAGTAATGTGGAAATCCCATACTAATCTATGGTTTCTGGAGGGTGTTTAGACTGGTGATGAATTGTGATGAATGGTTATTTGTGGGAGAATCCTCCGGCAATCAAATGTGGCTAGCTGGGAAATCCCCGAACTAAATGGAGGTTTACTGTATAGCTCGGAATATCATCGAACTATATGGCGGATTTTCAATTGCTATGTTTGATTACCCGAGGGTCATGATATTTTACTCATCCAACCATTTTTGGTGGTTGGCCAGCCACTCAGTGATTAAAGCGGGGTTTAATGGGATGTATAAACAACCTGATATTGTGATATGGCTATCCAGTGGTTGTCAGGGAGCTAGGGAGCTCGAGGTATCCAAATTCCATCGCTACTAGGAGTTTCCAAACCATATGATAGTTTATTGGCTATGGTGTGTTTTTCTTAAAATTTGATTATTCTTGATGTTTGTTAATCATCGATGGGGATTATTGATCATGACTGATGATTGTTGATGATACTGGGATTGGTAGACACCTGTGATAAGAAACGAATCGAGGGATCAGCATCCATGGCAGTCAGCTAAATTCTATCCACATCACATCCAGGTTGGAAAGTGTGCTGGTGCCATCCAACATCCTGTTTGTTTTGGTCATGCGAAATTCGGAAGCTGAAAATCCCATGGTTTTGAGAATTTTTCCCACATGAACATGGCCATTTTGGGGGGATATGTACTGGGGGGATGAACATCCATTTGCCGGGATTTACCGCTAGATTTTGATGTTCACTGGGTTACCAGGGTGTTGACCCGCAGCTAAGTCATGACTTGAATGGAGACCCCTGGAGGCACTTGCCTGTGGCATTCGCTTGGCCCTGGCATTGCGGAGTCAAGCTATGCAGTTGGCATCTGTGATGTTGGAGGCCTATCTTGGGATATAGAGGGTCCAACGGATAGGGGCGCATGATTGGTCAAGTGCACGCTGTGATTTGACACTTTTGCCAGTTTTGACATACAGACCAGTTGGACTTGGTACTATCTCCAAGCATTAAAAATCATATGTTAGCAAGGGTCTCATTTGTCCCATGTTGTTGGTTGCCAACATTAAAATTCTGAAGCCAGAGGATATGTTTCGGTTTTCCTACTTGTTCCATATCCTTTCTCTGCGTGGAACGTTGTTTAATAATTAAGCGCTTACGCGCGACAGCCGGCCAGGGGCCCATGTTGAGGTTATAGGGGTCGAGGAGGGAGCAAGAGCTCAAGGCTATGTTGCCCCATCGGGAGGCTATGTAGGTCCAGCTTGGGGCTATGTTGGCCTATCTTGCGGCCTATGTTGGCCCATGTTGACCCATCTGAAGCCACAAGGGTCGAAAAATGGGAACAGCAAAAAACACTGTAAAACGCGGGATATTTAAGCGCTTACGCGCGACAGCCGGCCAGGGGCCCAACTATGTAGGCCCATTTTGTGGCTATGTTGGCCTATGTTGGCCTATCTTGCGGGCAATGTGGGCCGATCTTGTGGCTATGTTGGCCTATGTTGATGCATGTTGAGCCAAAAGATCCGAAAAATGGGAACAGCAAAAAAAACACTGTAAAACGCAGGATATTTTGATGGTCGGCGCCCTATCTTGGGGCTATGTTGGCCCATCTTGGGGCTATGTGGGCCTATCTTGGGGCTATGTTGGTCCATCTTGGGGCTATCTTGGCCCATCTTGGGGGCTATGTTGGCCGATCTTGGGGCTATGTTGGCCCATCTTGGGCCATCTTGGGGGCCATGTTGGCCCATCTTGGGGGCTATGTTGGCCCATCTTGAGCCCTATGTTGGCCCATGTTGACCCATCTTGAGCCACAAGAGCCGAAAAAGTTCAAAAAACGGGAAGAGCAAAATACACTGTAAAACGCAGGATATTTTGATGGTACGCGGTGGGGGGGGGTGGGTCGGCGGCAGGGGGCGCGGCCCCTCTCTCCTACGGAGAGGAGAGAAACGCTTTCGGCAAGGACACGGCCAGGGGGTCCCTGGCCGGATTTTGACGGGGGGGGTAGGTCGGCGGCAGGGGCTGCGGCCCCTCTCTCCTTCGGAGAGGAGAGGAGAGAAGGCCTACGGCAATGCCACGGCCAGCTCCGGGCCCGGCGGGCCCCTGGCCGGATTTAAGCGCTTACGCGCGACAGCCGGCCAGGGGCCCATGTTGAGGTGATATGGGTCTAGCTGGGAGCAAGATCTTAAGGCTATGTTGCCCCATCTTGAGGCTATGTTTGGCCGATCTTGAGGCCTATGTTGGCCTCATGTTGACCCATGTTGAGCCGAAAGAGCCGAAAAATGGGAACAGCAAAAAAAACATTGTAAAACGCAGGATAGTTTGATGATCGGCGGCCTATCTTGGGGCTATGTTGGCCCATCTTGGGGCTATGTTGGCCTATCTTGAGGGCAATGTGGGCCCATCTTGGGGCTGCTCGTGTCCTCTTGCAGCTGGCTTTCGGCCTGCACAGCTCCGGGGGATCGGGCCCGCGGCCAGCAGCCCAGAGTGCCAAACGTCACCTTCTGAAGTGAGTAGAAACCTTGACTTTGCCTGCTCTTCTACACTGCCAACTCTCTTGCAGCTGGCTTTCGCCCTGCACAGCTCCGGTCAAAAAAGGACCCCCCGCAGGGCTAAAACACCATGGCAGTGAAGGACGGATCGGGCCCGCGGCCGGCAGCCCAGAGTGCCAAACGTCACCTTCTGAAGTGACTAGAAACTAGCTCCAAACCTTGACTTTGCCTGCTCTTCTACACTGCCAACTGCCAACTGGCTCGTGTCCTCTAGCAGCTGGCTTTCAGTCAAAAAGGCCTGTCCCGCAGGGCTAAAACACCATGTTAGTGAACCGCGGCCGGCAGCCCAGAGTGCCAAACGTCACCTGCGGAAGTGACTAGAAACTAGCTCCGAACCTTGACTTTGCCTGCTCTTCTACACTGCCAACTGCCAACTGGCTCGTCGTGTCCTCTTGCAGCTGGCTTTCGTCCTGCACAGCTCCGGTCAAAAAGGGCCGTCCCGCAGGGTTAAAACACCATGGCAGTGAAGGACGGATCGGCAGCCCAGAGTGCCAAACGTCACCTTCTGAAGTGACTAGAAACTAGCTCCAAACCTTGACTTTGCCTGCCGTTCAGCACTGCCAACTGCCAACTGGCTCGTGTCCTCTTGCAGCTGGCTTTCGTCCTGCACAGCTCTGGTCAAAGGACCGTCCCGCAAGGCTAAAACACCATGGCAGTGAAGGCTTCTTCCTCTTCTTCTTCTTCCTGCTTTCCTTTTTTTTGAACTTGCTTAAGTTCTTGCTTTTGCGACGGTACTTTGACACTTGCTGCGCGTACGACTTGCTGCGTGTAATTGCTTTATCTTCTTCTTCTTCTTCTGCTTCTTGCTTGCCTGCTCCTTGCTCGTGCAGCTTGATTGCTTTCTCCTTTCCCTTTTTTAAACTTGCTAAACATAAACTTGCTAATCATGGTTGCTCTTGCGTCGGCACTTTGACACTTGCTGCGTGTACGACTTGCTGCGTGTAATTGCTTCTCTGACGCGCTCCCCCTGCTGTCAGCAGGGGTCGGCGGATTAATAGTCCTGAACGCACAACAGGATTTCCTGCCAGATGTTGCACAGCGTTTGCTACTCTTCCATACTGGATTCACGTCCTGACGAAGCATTGCTCGCCAGGCTTTGTCACAGCAGGTGGTCCGGAGCCCCAATTCATCCACGCTTGAGACGAAACCCCGAGAGCTGGCTGGACCAACGGTGTGTGTGTGTGTTTTTTTTTGTGTGTGTAACGTCTGAATAGACGTAAAACTTTGCAGGGGGTGCCACGGATGCACACTGGACTGGCACCAACGAAGACGCCAGTGTGTCATCTGTGATATCGATGGGGATGCTCATCTACGTACCTGCTTTTTGAGATTTACTGCAATGGCACTGGGCTAAGCCGAGAACCCCAACCACAACGATTTTATTTCGACACGGTTGCCACAATCTGGTCTTCATTACAATTATTTTATCTCGCTGACATGGCAAAGGGCTAAGCCGAGAACCCTTACATCACAGATTTGACGTGGCTACTGGTTTTGGGATCTACTTGAACCTGTTTCTGGTCGTGATTGTCTTTATCGGAACACCTTCCCAATATTCGGATACTACTTCGAGGAGATCTACCTCAGGTCATTGGTTCTAATCTAATTGCATGTGAAGGGATTCAGTTCCCAACGGATCACTTCAATGATCCATTTCTTGTCTAGTGGCCCGGACATGGTGCCATGGACCCTTTTGAGGGAACCCTGGTTAGGGTGAATGAGGACTGACTTGACGTCTGAATTTACACTAAATTCAGTAATTCGTTTACGTAAAGTGAAACAGTCGGCCTTACCGTTCACCAGCCTTTTTGTCGTGCCGATCCTGCCATTCCTGTGTGCCTCGGAAACTTTCCAGCTTTGCTCAAGTGACGCTGCTCCGAACATGCAGCCACAAACATTGTCTTTTACAGTGACAGAGCACAGCCCATGTTGAACCACTACATTTTAGGCTGAGGTTTCATGCTTCCAGGTGTGGTGATTTTCTTTCTCTTGATGGTTTTCTGGTGAGGTTGAACATGTCGTGCATCTAATTCATTTGAACTAACTGGTACCGCCGTTTAATGCCCATGTGGCCTGAACGACAACGGTCCCGTTTTGGGAGTAACGCACGGCTCTCTAGGATCGAACTGAATCCCTTTAATGTCAATTTGTTGTTTCACTTTTCGTCATCAACTAGTCCCCCATTCGGTCCCTAATTTCTCCCCCGTGCCCCTCTGTAATGTGTCGTGGGGTTTAGGTGAGTGCTCTGTGTTGGTTAGGTCCGTCTCGCCGTGTATAGGTTGGTTCTTGAGGTCCGTTTGTTTCCTTCCCCTCTCTGCGCTGTCTTGGCCTTTGGCCCGTCGTTTGTGTCCGCTTTTTCTCTTCCTCTTGCCTTTCAGACCCGGCTCCGGCCGGGTGTGTGTGTGTGTGTACGCGCAGGTGTGTGTGTGTGTGTGAGTGTGTAACGTCTGAATAGACGTAAAACTTCTGCAGGGGGTGCCAGGGATGCACACTGGACTGGCACCAACGAAGACGCCAGTGTGTCATCTGTGATATCGACGGGGATGCTCATCTACGTACCTGCTTTTTGAGATTTACTGCAATGGCACGGGGCTAAGCCGAGAACCCCAACCACGACGATTTTATTTCGACACGGTTGCCACAATCTGGTCTTCATTACAATTATTTTATTTCGCTGACATGGCAAAGGGCTAAGCCGAGAACCCTTACATCACAGATTTGACGTGGCTACTGGCTTTTGGATCTACTTGAACCTGTTTCTGGTCGTGATTGTCTTTGTCGGAATACCTTCCCAATCTTCGGATACTACTTCGAGGAGATCTACCTTAGGTCATTGGTTCTAATCTAATTGCATGTGAGGGGATTCAGTTCCCAACGGATCACTTCAATGATCCATTTCTTGTCAGTGATAGTCGTGAAGGCAGTTGAAGTTTTGCAAAACAATAATGGCAGGTGAATCTTTGTCATGTAGAAACATGAGACAACATTGCTCGACCAACGGTCTGTGTGTGTGGTTTAGATCGCACATGTCAACAAACCTGTCGTGCGAAAGGGCCAAATGCATCGTCGCACAGCCAACATTGCAGTGATAGTCGTGTAGGCTGTTGAAGCTTTGCAAGAGGTGAATCTTTGTCATGTATTTGCTCGACCAACGGTCTGTCGCACATGTCAACAAACCTGTCGTGCATAGTGATCAAGAGTTGCAGGTGAATCTTTGTCATGTAGAAGCATGATCAACATTGCTCGACCAACGGTCTGTATGTGTGGTTTAGATCGCACATGTCAACAAACCTGTCGTGCTAAAGGGGCAAATGCATCGTCGCACAGCCTACGTTGCAGTGATAGTCGTGTAGGCTGTTGAAGCTTTGCAAGACAATTTGATCGTCCACAGTCTGTCCATAGTGATCAATAGTTGCAGGTGAATCTTTGTCATGTAGAAACATGAGACACCATTGCTCGACCAACGGTCTGTGTGTGTGGTTTAGATCCATCGTCGCATAGCCTACGTTGCAGTGATAGTCGTGTAGGCTGTTGAAGCTTTGCAAGACAATTTGATCGTCCACAGTCTGTCCATAGTGATCAATAGTTGCAGGTGAATCTTTGTCATGTAGAAACATGAGACAACATTGCTCGACCAACGGTCTGTGTGTGTGGTTTAGATCGCACATGTCAACAAACCTGTCGTGCTAAAGGGGCAAATGCATCGTCGCGCAGCCTACGTTGCAGTGATAGTCGTGTAGGCTGTTGAAGCTTTGCAAGACAATAGTGGCAGGTGAATCTTTGTCATGTAGAAGGATGAGACAACATTGCTCGACCAACGGTCTGTGTGTGTGGTTTAACGGTCTGTCGTGCTAAAGGGGCAAATGTGTGGTTTAGATCGCACATGTCAACAAACCTGTCGTGCTAAAGGGGCAAATGCATCGTCGCACAGCCTACGTTGCAGTGATAGTCGTGTAGGCTGTTGAAGCTTTGCAAGACAATTTGATCGTCCACGGTCTGTCCATAGTGATCAAGTTGCAGGTGAATCTTTGTCATGTAGACACATGAGACAACATTGCTCGACCAACGGTCTGTGTGTGTGGTTTAGATCGCACATGTCAACAAACCTGTCGTGCTAAAGGGGCAAATGCATCGTCGCACAGCCTACGTTGCAGTGATAGTCGTGTAGGCTGTTGAAGCTTTGCAAGACAATTTGATCGTCCACAGTCTGTCCATAGTGATCAAGAGTTGCAGGTGAATCTTTGTCATGTAGAAACATGAGACAACATTGCTCGACCAACGGTCTGTGTGTGTGGTTTAGATCGCACATGTCAACAAACCTGTCGTGCTAAAGGGGCAAATGCATCGTCGCACAGCCTACGTTGCAGTGATAGTCGTGTAGGCTGTTGAAGCTTTGCAAGACAATTTGATCGTCCACAGTCTGTCCATAGTGATCAATAGTTGCAGGTGAATCTTTGTCATGTAGAAACATGAGACAACATTGCTCGACCAACGGTCTGTGTGTGTGGTTTAGATCGCACATGTCAACAAACCTGTCGTGCTAAAGGGGCAAATGCATCGTCGCACAGCCTACGTTGCAGTGATAGTCGTGTAGGCTGTTGAAGCTTTGCAGGACAATTTGATCGTCATGTAGAAGCATGAGACAACATTGCTCGACCAACGGTCTGTATGTGTGGTTTAGATCGCACATGTCAACAAACCTGTCGTGCGAAAGGGCCAAATGCATCGTCGCACAGCCAACATTGCAGTGATAGTCGTGTAGGCTGTTGAAGCTTTGCAAGACAATAGTGGCAGGTGAATCTTTGTCATGTAGAAGGATGAGACAACATTGCTCGACCAACGGTCTGTGTGTGTGTGGTTTAGATCGCACATGTCAACAAACCTGTCGTGTTAAAGGGGCAAATGCATCGTCGCACAGCCTACGTTGCAGTGATAGTCGTGTAGGCTGTTGAAGCTTTGCAAGACAATTTGATCGTCATGTAGAAGCATGAGACAACATTGCTCGACCAACGGTCTGTATGTGTGGTTTAGATCGCACATATCAACAAACCTGTCGTGCGAAAGGGCCAAATGCATCGTCGCACAGCCAACATTGCAGTGATAGTCGTGTAGGCTGTTGAAGCTTTGCAAGACAATTTGATCGTCCACAGTCTATCCATTGCGGTGGAGAGTAGTGGTCGGTGCTGTTTATGCTTGTGTATGTGACACACCATGACAGAGGATAGAGATGGATAGAGGGTCGAATCTCAATCCTGGAAATGAGAAGGAGGGAAAGTGCCGGGCAACATCTCATCATGGATCCTTTTCAGAATTTCACGTTCTCCAGTGATAAGTGCCGCGGAGACATTTGAGTGATAGGCGGCATTTCGAAGCCAGAGAATGAGTGAAAGCGCAGCGGACTGCAATTAGAAATTGAGATTACCTAAAAAGCATAAAAACAACTGGATTGAAGCCTACAAGATCTTGAAAATTCATGAAGCAGATGGTTTTTTTTCCCCCAATCGAACAATTTCAAGGTGCCAGTGCCAGTTCTACAAGGCATAGGCAGTGATGGAGATTTTCCAGAACAAATTGGCAGGGTAGGATAAACGCCTTGCGTTTGTCTGAACATAAGGGCATACGGTATGTGATTGCTAAACTTCCGGCTCAATTTTTGCATTCAAAGTTGCCACCCCCTTTGCCACCAAAATACAGGTGCCCCCATGTTTGCCATCACATTCTGCCATCAAACCTGCCACCAACTCTTCATTGCCACTGAAAATGCCACCCACATTGCCATATCTAACTGCCACCGCCGCCGAACTTGCCACCAAACTTGCCACCTTAAACCGCCACGAACCTCTGGCATAAGATAGAACCATATGAAAGCATACCTTTTAAATCTTAGATAAGGCATACCGTATGAAATCCACCGGTGAATCATCATTTTCTCATCTATTTTGCTTCAAAGAAGCGACACTCTGGTCATTTCTCAGGGGCAGAGGTGAACATCACCATTTTCCCACATATATTTCCCATACATTTTCCATATAAATTATATAATTATATATAATTATATGATAAATCATATGTTGTTGCATGTTCCACATCATCCATTTTCAGCCGTAAATCATGAAACTTTTGCAGTGAATTTCGTCGCCAAGGCGGACCTGGACTTGTCAGAGCTCACTGCCGTTTTGGCTGCTGGGCCTGGGCGGTTTATAGGTTTGCAAAGTTGGTTCCAACTATGGACAACTACGGAAACTGGACTGTATGGTTATGATATAATATATCTACACTAAGTGGAGGCTATAAAACAACTCATTAGCTGGGGGCACCACCTTGTCACTGTGCGGAATTCTTTGCTGATTATTTGCAGGTCTTTTTTTTCCGGGTTTCTTGCTGTTGCTGAGGCAGCTGCAAACAAAGTTGGTGGGCTACCAGCAGCCAGTCAGTGCAGACCTTGGGTTTGAGGCATGAGTTCTTGCCAATTCTTTCGTTTTCTTTCATTTTCTTTCTATTCATTGTCATTTTTCTTGGACGCCCACATATCCTGGAAGAGTGACTCGGCCGAAGAATGACTGGTGAAGAGTTTAGTGAACTCTCTCTCCCTTCTGAAGTGAAGTACTTTACTTACACAGAAATGAGCAGCGATCGCAGCGCCTGCATGGCTCTGCGGATAGCCAAGGCTGTTGGAGAGTCTACTGGAGCAACTGGCAGAGCAATCGCCATTGGATCTGAAAGAAGAGGTCCCTTCAACAGCGCACTGCTGGGCGAGAAACCTCTAGTTTTCCTGAGTGGGATGAATATCCATGTATTTACCAGCTGAAATTTGATGTGAACATCATTTACCAGCTGAAATTTGGATATGAACCTCATCATCCCCCTTAATTTTCAGGTGGACAACGCACGCATTTCCCGGTTGTTTCTTCATCCTTCAAGCGGCTTCATCGCCAGGATCTCTATGGCACCTTGGAGGTCCTCGGAGGCCATGTTGGCGAGGCGAAAAAGCGTTGCGAGACACAGCGATTGCGTTGGTCATGATGAATGGTACCCTTCATAGTGGGAGAATTGGGACAATAATCCGGGATGATCATTGGATATCATTGGGATAATTGGATATCATAATTATGGGATAGTGGGATAAGAATCTGGGCAACAGAAAATCCCTGAAACGAATCCCCGAAACGAATCTGCGAGGATTTTTGGGCCAGGATGTGAGCTGCACGCTTCCCCGCGAACAGCCGTGCTATGGAGGTAGATCCTGCGACATTGGAAGACTTCATCGAGTCCTTGAGGTCAGAATTTGCAGGGCAAGGCCAACCCATGGAGATCATATACCCATATGGCCCATATTGGAGGATGGTCAGATCCCCATAGGAAATTACAAATATACGACTTACCCAGGCGATAATGTGGAGGGAGTCACAGTTGCAGGTGGGGTGTACAAATACAAATCACCTGCAAATGACACATGGGATGAGTCAAAAAGTCAAAACCTATAATACCATGCTTTGGGGGATGAACATCCACTTACCAGATTTACCAGCTATTTACCAGCTATTTTGATGTTCACCAGCCATGGTTTTGATCCATGGCCACTTTTTATGGTTCTGGACTTCACACAGCTGCTGCACGATTTTGCGATACAGAAGCTGACGAAGGTCAGCGTTTCTGTGGATTTCCTAAGGTTCTTTTGGCCCCTTTGCACTTCGCAGACGCTCATCAAGGCTCGTTTTAAGCTGCGAAAGTGGCCAGCAGTTTGTTTGAATCCTGGTGGATGAGTTGTTCATTTCATGCTGTTTCGAAGCTCAACTCCATGTGAGAGAAAGTGAGCGAGACTAGTCCAAGGTTGCATTTTCTGGTTGACTCGAAGCTTGTACCAAGAGACCCAGCAAGAAAGTACTGACTGCCCTCCAGAAAACTGGCAAAGAACCCATTTGATGTTGGTGAGTATCTAAGTATTCCACATATTGAAATTACCAGAGGGTATTCGCAAATCCCATGGTTTATCATAACAAAATTCCCCATTCAGCGGTTCACAGCGGTCATTTCGTGGCTCTTACGAATGGGTTCTGCATGGTATTGCATTCCGGGCTCGCCAGAGCTGAAAGTCGAGGCTCTTCTGGCTTTGGGCCAAGCGAATGCCCTGGATGTGGGCACTTGCCGATTGCTTCTGCAGCAGTTGGAGGTTTCCAGTTGCTGAGAAAAAACGATGCAACCTCAACCAGACTCCTTGGATACATCTACATATACAATCACACACACATGTATATATATATAATATTTCCAGTTTATCGAACTGAAAGGTTTCTTTTTTAAGCGCAGAGAAACAACATAAAAAGGGTTGCCCAAATGGATACCAATCGAAATCAATTTGGATGTTGATTCGCAGGCCCGCAGTGAGTTCTTAGGCCGCAGCGACCGCGAGGTGCCGTGTGGTTTTCTCGTTGGTTGAAGATTTTAACCGGTAAATGATGGCTTGTGTATTTTTAACAGGTAAATGATATAAATGGAAGCACCTCTGTTTTCCAGAGTATGCTGTTTTCCTGAACAACTAGAAACAGTGGATCAAATGGACAGCGACCATTGACATGGAGCTGGACCTATGAGATTTTACGCTGTTTCACTGTAGATTCACTGTAGATGAGGCGCTGTTGCTGCTGCTGGCCCTACATAAGAGCAGCTTTGATCGCAGCACAGCAGTCCTTGGCCTACCTCATCCCCTGTATGATGAGGCTTGGCGTGGCTAAGAACGTGGCTAGATATGGTCAGGTTACCTTTTTAGCAAAGCTGATCTGCGATTCTGCAGGATATTGGTAGTAGAAGTGGACATGAAACAAATAAGTGTGGCAGGCGGATGCCAAACCCGAGCAGGATCCAATCTTGAAGGCATACAATATCCTCCATAGTCGAGTGCAGGTTGCATGGCATGTCTACTGTCATGTGTTCCTTTTTGCTTCCCGTGATAGGCTGCGAAACGCTTGATCAAGGCAGGCTGACCGAAAAACCTGATCTGATGAATCTGATGTGGGAAGTATGTGAAATGTATCTGTATCTGAAATGTTCTAACCTCCTTTCAGGACTAGCTCTTGCTCCAACGTTTTCGCGAAGAGTTTTGGATTTTGCTGCATCTCACTGTACATTACTGTACATTGGAGCCTGAACTTCAGACCTGGAGCCTGAACTTCAGACCCTCCACTGGTTTTTGATTCACTCCACGATATTCTCCGTCTCTTTCTTTCTCCGAGTGTTCAACCAGATCGTACCCATTACCAAGCGAAGATTGACACATGGGTTTGTCCGAAAATGATGGGACCCAGACAAAAATGGATGGTTGATGGTTGATCAATGTTGATCATCATGTTTCAACACCCCTTTCACCATAGTTACAGTGGTTTTCCCATGAAAAATGCCATATTACTGTGGTTTTCCCATAGTTACTGTGGTTTTCCCATGACATGAACACCCAGGGTGTTCCTCCAGCGTTTCAGAGCCATGGGCGCCGAGGACCTGTCCCGCGATGCCTGCGGCAAAATCAGCAGTGGTCCCATCGAGTCGCTTTCGCGGCCTGTCCTGGCGCTGGCTGGGATCCCCTGATGCCGATGGGGATACGGTGATACGGAATGGGAATCATGGGAAAGAAACATACACATAAAAATACTACGCATACATAAAGTTTTTTTTTTTTAAAATATCTATGTCTATATCTATGTCTATATCTACTGTATGTCTTTATCTAGCTATCCATTCATCCATCTATCTACCAAACTATCTACCAATGTACCTACCTATCTATCTACCAATCTACCCATCTACCAATCCACCAATGTACCTACCTATCTATCTACCAACCTACCAACCTACCAATCTACCAATGTACCTACCTATCTACCTATCTATCTACCTATCTACCTATCTACCTATCTATGTATCTATGTATCTATGTATCTATGTATCTATGTATCTATGTATCTATGTATCTATGTATCTATCTATCGACTATCGATCTATCCACCTATCAATCTATCCATCTATCCATCTATCCACCTATCCATCTATCCATCTATCCATCTATCCATCTATCCATCTATCCATCTATCCATCTATCTATTTATTTATCTATATATCTATCCAGCTATCCATCTATCCATCTATCGATCTATCGATCGATCTATCTATCTATCTACCTATCTATCTATCTGTCTGTCTGTCTATCTATCTATCTATTTATCTATCTATCTATCTGTCTGTCTGTCTATCTATCTATCTATCTATCTCTCTATCTACCTGTCTATCTATCTACCTGTCTATCTATCTATCTATCTATCTATCTATCTATCTATCTATCTCTCTCTCTCTCTATCTATCTATCTATCTATCTTCCTTCCTTCCTTCCTTCTTTCTTTCTTTCTTTCTTTCTTTCTTTCTTAGTTTCTTTCTCTGTATTTCTCCATCTCTCGATACAATTATTATGTTTGACAATGGTACATAAAATATGTTAATTTGAATAATGGAATATATAGCCTTCGGTCGTGCCTCACAATTATAACAATTATAGGATCCCCCCCAAGAAAAATAATGTTAATGGATGTTAATGGGGAAAATGAGGTTCTACACGATAAGATTTCGGATAGTCTATTATCAGATGAGATCCACATCGATTTGAAAAGTACTTGTGATCCCTTTCCCCTAAAATTTTATACTTCTCATGACTGGACCCCCAAAGTTAATAGATTCACCAGAACACTAAGGGCGCTCGGGGGGAAAGGATTATTCATGTTAGGAAGATCCAGGTGGGATCCAGTTGGAGCTTGAGAACTGTCCCAGGAGTAGATTTCCAAATGCAAAGGGCACCTTTTGAAAGGTCGTCCAGGTCGGTCATATTTTTTGACGGCTATCCCAGTCCCAATCATCCCATCTGCAGAGGCTGAGCTCAAAGTGCTGGATCGACGCGCCCTGCACGCCTTGACGGAACGCTTAGTGTGCGCCGGGAGGAACAACGATGGTCAGCCTTTGAATTGGAACTTCAGTGGATCGACTTGAGGAAAAAATTACTGGAAGCTGGTGTCTTGACATGTTTTGAACATCAAATGCAGCAGTATCACTTAGCCAATTCTGCGTGCGAACGCTGAGCCTCAAAACTGGTTCCGAAAACCGGTGGCAATATCGTGCGTGGTCACTTCGCAAGTCAAGTCTTGGATTTTTTCAGGCAACCTTGTTCTAGCCGTGGCAGTGCAGAGATCAATTCCCAAAACATCCTCAGGCCCATTTCTGCAGTCAGAATCCCAAATCTTCAGGACCTGATGAATGAAGCTTGGATTAGGAGCTCCCAACTCCCCGACGAAAAACGGCAAAAATCTCCGTGGAAGGTCTGGACGGCTGCTGTCCCTCTCTCCTTCTGCATTTGTCTCTCTAGTCTACGCGCATCGCTGCCCCCTCAGATGCTGCTGATTAGTCAGCACCAGAAAAGCTCGAGCCGTGAATCAGTCAGTCACCAAATCCAACAGTTCTCTTTCCATCCTTGAGTCCCGATTATTGAATCCATGAAGTGATATATCCCTGGAAGTTCAGCAACAGAAATCCATCGATCATCACCAAGCACAATGAGACGCACAGGTACACACAGCAGAAATCTACAAACTAAATCATCATCATCATCATCATCATCATCATCATCATCATCATCATCATCAACAACCCTCCTGGCAATCATTATTAATTATCAAATCAAGGTTGACAGATTGACGCATGTCTGACACCGGTGCCACGCCTTGGCCACCAGGCCTGGTCCGTGGCCCCGTGCCCTTGGAGAAGCTCCGCATGCCACTGTGCTTAGCCTTCGGAGCCTTGCTGCATGCCATGACTGCAAAGCAGGTCGGGATCCCAGGGCGAAGTCCAACGAAATGGGCATTGAAATAGGTCGGGATTATCCAACTCAACTGGTGATGATGATGATGATGATGATGTTGTTGAGGATGTACGCAACCGAGCACGGGTTATCATCCACCCCTAAAACAAAACCAGTAGAAAAAGAAGGCGACCAAGAGGAAGTCCCCGTGCAAGGCCAAGTGTTGGCCACCATAAGGCAGTGAAGACTCAACCTTAACAAGCAGCGCATGGAACGTCCATAAAAGCACCAAAAACTGAAAGGCATCTCTCACGCTTGCACCATAGGCAGTGCACCTTCAAACCTTTCACCAGTTGTGCGTACTGATCACCAGACAATGAAGGATCAGGTGGCTCAGGGAGCACGATCCAGTGTCTTTTCTGTTCTGCAGCAGTGCGGTTATGCTCCGCCACCTTTGTTTGCTCATCCAATCAGTGACCTTTTTGGAGAGTTTGGTGGAAACTGGTTCAGCCTCTGGAGAGGCGTCGCCCTGTATACACCACTGCAGTTGCGGCACATGTTCATGACCTCTGCGCTCTTCGCGGCGCACATAGATTGGCACTTGCCGCACCTTCTCATCCCAAAAAGACTCACGGGATGGAAGCTGCTTCAGCCATTGGCCGCTACGTTGAGCGCCGCCCTTGGCCATGTGGCATTACTTCTCAAACGGTCAACAACCTGCAGAACACGTGGGGTCTCCCTCGTTGCGCTGGCCTCCCTTGGCGACCCCTTTTGCTTCATCCTGAGGCTGTGGAAACCTTTTTCAATGCTGCTGGCAATGTGATCTATACTTCAGATGCGGACTTCTTTAACCACGAATCATCCAACTCAACTGGGCTTCTATGAAGCCCCCAAAGATTTGGAACAGTTGGACACCTGGAAAGAGTTTTCAGCATCTTTTTGGGGGTTACTATAAATGGAGGTCTGAATCGGAACAAGACATCTACAAATCAGGGTTTAAATTCAATTGTGGATCCAGTTTATGCTTATTTGTGGTAAGATCCCTTTCAAAAAGCGACGGTCTAGATTGGGGAACTTATTTATACAATGAGGAACACTCCTTGTAAATAAAGGTCTTTAAAGGGAAATAATCTATAGATTGGGGTTTTGAAGAGAACCGTCTTAAATATGGGAATTTTAAAATCTGGTGTGGAAGGGAATGGCATTGTCCAAAAGAAGGGATCAAACCCCTAAGGGACAAAGAACTAACCCAGAAGAAATGAAGGATGCAGCCATATCCTAGCCATCAAATCTACCCTGGTGTTGTCTTGGGAGATGGCCTCCCAATCTGTATTTCAATGGGAACATGACAACTGAACCATGAGATTTTGGGGTTCCTAATTTTCTAGGTAGATCAGGTAGGTCAAGTACATCAATCAGGCAGATCAGGATCAGGTAGATATGAGATGTGGCTATTTCTTATTTCTTGACATCGAATTTATACATCCACATCCATTTGGTGGACAGTGCTCCACTGCTCCACTTAGTCACTTCCGCCTTTGACATGTTTTGTTCTGCATGGGCTGCATGGGTTTGTTCTAATATACCCAACATGGCGATTTGGATGGCACAAATTATGCCCATGTTTGGACAAACCCACAGTGAAAGTGGAGAATCTCAAGCTCCACCTGGACTTTTGCTGAAGCCAGCAGGTGGCCAGCTGTATCGAGAGTTTGAAGGCATACTGCTACAAGGCCCTGATGCACATTGGCACATTGGATCTTAGATTCTAAGCATTGAGCAGAGGATAGACTCAAGAACACTCCAGCCCACAAATTTCCAGCTAAAGGCTAAGTCGGCTAAGTACCTTTGTGAGACTTTTCCCCGAATGGATATGTCTCTTTCAAAACACTTCAGTCTGCCTGGTGGTCTTGCACGCTGCATCGCGAGGCATATCGGCATGTCTTCACTGCAGCCTACGAAAGATTGGCAAGAGCTTTGGAGGCTCAAGCAGAAGGCCTGGACGGGATACAGAATGTGATTGATGGAAAAAAACATGAATGGAGGATAGTATGCTGCTCTGATGAAGACTTGCGAGTGGCATTTCAGACCCAGCAGGAAACTATAAGAAAGTCATGGTCATGTTCCACAGACTAATTAATGTAGTTATAGCAGGGACCCACAAACGCAGTGGGTGAGGCCTGGGTTACGATCCCTTCGCCTTGCTCACACCTGCGGAGGCGTTTTCGTCGCTCAAAGATGATGTTTCTGGTAAAGCCTGAAGATTTCCAAGATTCATCACGATGTGACAAGATTCATCACCATTTCTGAGTTTCTGAGTTGTTGTGGAGTTTCGGAGGTTCCATGAACTCAACGATTCGCTTTGTTCGGACCAGCTCCATAGGTGGCAATGGCCATCCGATCCTTTCCCGAGCTGAAATTTGAGGCTCCAAACTGGGTGCACCCGGCGATGAATCCCCAAAACCCTCGGCTGATTCAGGGATTCTACAAGTACCAATGGGGAGTATCACCATCGGATTCCCGTTCTCAACCAGTATTGAAACTCGATTCATATATATATATATATATAGAGTGCCGGACAATTACATAGAACGTATTTTGGAAAAAAAACTGTTTTCTTTTGTGCCTATAGGACGTTCTAAGTGTAAGGCTTAGAACGTAGAAAATTCATCACTTAGAACGTCCAAATATCAAGATTCATCACTTGGAACGTGTCAATGGTGATAGTGGGAAGGCGTGTGAAATATTTTTATCTCTAATCCCTTCCCCCTATTACTAAACCCCCCCAAATAATAAAAACTAGGGTCCATCTCTAATTTTGGAAAATTTCAGGTTGGCCAATTTGACTTTTAATTGATCCCCTTTAGAAAACAATTCAAAAATAAAACTACCATTTGTGGGTTTCGCCTCCTAATAATAAAAACTAGTTAACCCCGGGGTGTTTATTATTAGGGTCCGTTTGAAAATTTTAGTTTTTTTTTTTTTAAATTAAGGGTTTCAATTTATTAATAGGGTCCGGGGTCCGCTTCGAAATCCAGTTTTTGGCAATACTTTAATTGCGTTATATAAGGAAATTTGATTGATTTTGAAATCAAACAAACATAGTTTTTTTTTTTTTTAAATCAAGGTTTTAAACTTATTAATAGGGTCCGCTTCGAAATCCAATTTTTGGCAATACTTTAATTGCGTTATATAAGGAAATTTAATTGAATTTGAAATCTTTGATTTTTAATTAAGGGTTTAAATTCATTAATAGGGTCCGCTTCGAAATCCAATTTTTGGCAATATTTTGATTGCGTTCTATAAGGAAAATTGATTGATTTTGAAATCGACACAACTAGTCTTTTTATTAAGGGTTTAACTTTATTATTAGGGATCCCTAATAATAAAAACCACCCTAATAATAAAAACTACCTGAGGTGTTTATTACTTGGGGGGCGACGTTTAGTATTAGGGGGAAGGGATTAAGTGTTGGATTCAGCAGCTAATTCCGTAGGAAACATAGACATAATTTCGTACCATTTGGCTTTTCCCTCCCATATGATTTGCAAATATTGGCGATGTTTTATCTCTGGAACACTATACCTTTTGGTGCTTTTTGGGGGTTCTGACGTTCTAAGTGTTGGATTCAGCAGCTAATTCCGTAGGAAACATAGACATAATTTTGTACTATTTGGCTTTTCCCTCCCATATGATTTGCAAATATTGGCGATGTTTTATCTCTGGAACAGTATACCTTTTGGTGCTTTTTGGGGGTTCTGACGTTCTAAGTGTTGGATTCAGCAGCTAATTCCGTAGGAAACATAGACATAATTTTGTACCATTTGGCTTTTCCCTCCCATATGATTTGCAAATATTGACGATCTTTTATCTCTGGAACACTATACCTTTTGGTGCTTTTTGGGGGTTCTGACGTTCTAAGTGTTGGATTCAGCAGCTAATTCCGTAGGAAACATAGACATAATTTTGTACTATTTGGCTTTTCCCTCCCATATGATTTGCAAATATTGGCGATCTTTTATCTCTGGAACACTATACTTTTTGGTGCTTTTTGGGGTTTCTGACGTTCTAAGTGTTGGATTCAGCAGCTAACTCCGTAGGAAACATAGACATATTTTTGTACTATTTGGCTTTTCCCTCCCATATGATTTGCAAATATTGGCGATTTTTTATCTCTGGAACAGTATACCTTTTGGTGCTTTTTGGGGGTTCTGACGTTCTAAGTGTTGGATTCAGCAGCTAATTCCGTAGGAAACATAGACATAATTTTGTACCATTTGGCTTTTCCCTCCCATATGATTTGCAAATATTGACGATCTTTTATCTCTGGAACACTATACCTTTTGGTGCTTTTTGGGGGTTCTGACTTTCTAAGTGTTGGATTCAGCAGCTAATTCGGTAGGAAACATAGACATAATTTCGTACCAGTTGGCTTTTCCCTCCCATATGATTTGCAAATATTAGCGATCTTTTATCTGGAACACTATACCTTTTGGTGCTTTTTGGGGGTTCTGACGTTCTAAGTGTTGGATTCAGCAGACAATTCCGTGGGAAACATAGACATAATTCCGTACCATTTGGCTTTCCCTCCCATATGATTTGCAAAAAAATATTGGCGGTCTTTTATCTCTGGAACACTATACCTTTTGGTGCTTTTTGGGGTTTCTGACGTTCTAAGTGTTGGATTCAGCAGCTAATTCCGTAGGAAACATAGACATAATTTTGTACCATTTGGCTTTTCCCTCCCATATGATTTGCAAATATTGGCGATGTTTTATCTCTGGAACACTATACCTTTTGGTGCTTTTTGGGGGTTCTGACGTTCTAAGTGTTGGATTCAGCAGCTAATTTGGTAGGAAACATAGACATAATTTCGTACTAATTGGAAACTATTTTTTTCGATTTCAAAATCAAGTCAATATCCTCTTATAACGCAATTAAGATTCTGTCAAAAATTGGATTTCGAAGCGGACCCTATTAATAAATTTTAAACCTTAATAAACAAACTATTTTTTTGATTTCAAAATCAATTAATTTTCCGTTTTTAACGCAATTAACATATTGCCAAAAATTGGATTTCGAAGCTTCCCCCTAATACTAAATTAAACACCTTAATATAAAAAACTAAAAAACATCGGACGGACCCTAATAATAAACACCCCGGGGTGAACTAGTTTTTAGTATTAGGGGGGAACACCCACAAATGGTAGCTTTATTCTTAAATTGTTTTCTAAAGGGGATCAATTAAAAGTCAACTTGGCCAACCTGAAATTTTCCAACATTAGAGATGGACCCTAGTATTATTTAGGGGGTTTAGTAGTAGGGGGAAGGGATTATGTATATATATATATATACATGTAATTACTCAAAGATTGTTTAAGAGTACAGGTATCTTTTGAAATTATATATATATATATTATATAGATGGATTGTTTGGCCTTTTTTCCACACATACTAGTGTTGGGGAGAGTTTTGCACCAGCCAAAGAAGAACCTCCTGGCAAAAGACCGAAGGTATCTCAGATCTATGTAGATATAAAAAAAAACAATTCAGAAACCGCGCTGTCATGGGTGCCCGCGCAAAAAATGCTCTCTGAGAGCGCTTTCTGAAGGTTGGAGGGTTATGTTTTTTGTGCATGGAAGGGAACCATCACAGTTGATTTGAAACGGTGGGTACCTCATCGATTTCTCGAAGGATTTGGATAGTAGTAGTATTTATATAATATATATTTATAATGTATGTATATACATATCATATGTTAATTATTCATAATTATAGCGACGGACAACTACTTGGAACGTTCTAAGTGTTGGTTTTACGTTCTAAGTGTTGAATTGGCCCCCCTACGTTCTAAGTGTTGGTTTTACGTTCTAAGTGTTGAAAATATGCCTACGTTCTAAGTGTTGATTTGTGACCACGTTCTAAGTAGAAAAAAAAATCGAAAAATTACGTTCTAAGTAGTTGTCCGTCACTATATATATATATATATGTATATATATATATAATTATATATAACAACTGTCACCTTCCGAGCCTGGCCCAGGAGTGTCACCTCTTGCTTCGCATGTTAAACGCCCTTGATTCAGCGCTGGGGACTCATCCCAACTCGCATTCTGGGCAGATCTCATTTTGGCTGTTGCTTGGAACCCTACAAGGAATAGACATAAGTAGTTAATGGTAGTTACTTCAGTAGGCCTTCATTTGCTGTCAGTGAGGCCTCAGCTCCTGATTGCAGGTGCGTCACCAGTGGTTGGCTACATTGACATTGATTTCTTTGCATTTGGGTATGGGTCAATACCTATAGATACATTTTAGTGGGATGAACATCCATTTACCAGCTATTTTGGGGTTCACTAGGTACCAGGGTTTTGACCCATCCCCATTTCTTTGCATTTCTTTCAATGTTTCAAATCTTTGTAACCAAAGTCCGTTCTCACCACATCGCCAGGGAGTGCTGCTGGCACGGAGCTGCTGCCCGCACAGGACAGCACTTGGGTTTGCGCAAACTGGGGTATGCCAGTATGCCGCCCCAGAAATGCAAGTAGAATGGCTAAAAAAATGATGATCCACCCCAGTTTTGTAAAAAACTATTTTTAGGTTCCCCCATTTCCCGACCATTGGCAATGACTTGGGGTCTTTTTTCAGCGCAGGAAGTTGTGCAGAGCAGCTTGCTGGGAAGGCCTCTGAATTGTATGGGGGCAGGTTGTCCTTATGCTTCGAATTGAATTCCCATTGTTTCTACGACTTAAAATTTCCTGGATGTGATCATGGTGGCAGGATGACCATGGCGGAACTGGTTGATGTCTTCGAAGCTTTTGGAGCACAGGGTTTGGCAAGCTGCGATTCAGTGGCTCAGGTGGCGCAAGCAGCTTACTTGTGAGTGAAGAATTCATACCAGTTCTGTAGATTTTACTGTCACTGTACAGTATATAAATCCTGATGTCACCGGGTTGGTAGGTGGGGACGCACAGTCTTTTACCTGCGACAATGGGAACCCCAGATTTGCTACCAGGCCATTGTGCACAGATACGGAGCAAATGGTGGGCGAATTTCTCGGCGAAATGCAGCGAGAGTCAGGGTGCTTGGAAGCTTTCAGGGTTGCTTCGGAATAATTGATGTCAATCCTCATAAAGGGAGAAAAGTAAACAGTCAGTGTTTTTACAATTGCTTGGTTGACAAGGATTCACATATTGGATTATGACATTACAGTCCCCCCCAAAAGATAGTTTTTGGTAATTTCCCATATTCTTCGAGTTGGGCTTTACGTTTCTATCTTTATGATTCTTTATGGGGGTTACTACGATGTGCATCCTAGTTAGCAGGTTGGTAACACGGTGAAAAGGTCGATTGTATGCCAGAGTTGGATGGTCATAATGTCATACCCTCTGGTAAACAAACATACTGGGTAGCTATTGACAATGGCCATTTATAATGGATTTTCCCATTGAAAATGGTGATTTTCCATAGTTGTAACCCACTATCAGAGGGTACTACTATCAGGGCTTCATACAGCCGTTGTAACCCACTTGGGATGACCAGAACCCATCCCATGGAGCTCAGGCCATCCGTGTGATGGCGTAGCTCGGCTGGATGTTGTACGAAGAGGGGCCAAATAAAACAGGACTAGGACGATATACATGATATTGAATATCTACACTCCATTCCATTATATACATTCGATTATACAATATACATACGATTATTTACATACTATTTGGATATAATGTATATGTATATGTATATATTATTAATACGTATATGTATATATATATATACAATAATATATATATAAGTTATATAAGTGTATATAAGTGTATATATATAATATATGTATATATATACACACTAATACTGTATATCTATATGTATATATACATACTAATATATGTATGTATACTGATATATAATATATACACATACACTAATAGATATACATACTGATACATTATATACATATGTACAGTTTATACACTAATATACATGTACTGATATATGTATATATATATATATAGAGTACTGATATATGTATATATATACAATACTAATATATATATATACTAATACATAAACTAATATGTATATAAATGTATATATACTAATTTCTATGTACTTATATATATACATAACACTATGTATATATCCATAGTACTATATATATATGTATACTAAAATATATTTTTTAATTAGTAATATATACATATATAGATACACATATTCACATATATATATATACACATATATTCACATATATATATATACACATATTCACTTTATATATACTTATATATATACTTATATATATACTTATATATATACTTATATATATATACACTTACATATATACATATATACATATATACATATATACATATATACATATATACATATATATATATATACATATATATATATATGTACCAGTATATATTCATATACATTTAAATTTACCAACATATATATATATACATATACATATTTACTAATATATATATATATATATGTACAGATAAATATGTATATATATATATACACATACACATTCATACATATACTATATATATATATTTATAATTTACTAGTATATCTAACATATATATATATATCTATACTAACATATATATATATATGTGTATATATATATACACTAATACATGAACACATTGATTGGAATTGTCACTTAAGGGTGCACAACCAATAGTATAGATGTTATAGCATGATGCCTCCAAACATTGCAGCTCAAACCCCTATTGAAAAGTGGCTTCCATTGGCAACCTTTGCTAAGTGGCCTCCAATGGAAACCACTTTGGTGGCGCTGGTATATATATATATATATACTATTGTGACATGCTTAAGGCTTAAACATTAATGTAGCTTAAAATGATTGCGGGATTCAGGAGGAAGAATCACCTTGAGACCTGGGGCAGAACTTTGCCCCCGCAATTGGCATGTGGAAAAAAAACGTCTAAAAGGACACCTCAGGGACCAACGGGTTTCACTGGAGGTCCCTAAAAAGATCCATGGTGAATCGACATCGCCATGGTGCCTCGACTCGAGGCAGCTTCGCCTTGCACGACCTGAGTTGTTGGACTTGTTGCTGGCAGAGTTGAATGGCTGGCAGGAGCGCTTCGCTGAGTGTCATGGGGTGTGGAAGAAACTGGGGCATTCCGATGTAATGGCGAATATGATGGGACAGGAAATTTGGAGTATACTGGTATACTATTGGACATGACACAAAGTCTGAAGTTGCGAAGGGTTCATAGCTGGAAAAAAATCAACTCGTCACTTGAGGTGGTCACTCTGATGTTGACCATGAAACAGTTTTTGAACCATTCGACCGATACATCTGGGTGAACTATATCCCCTAGCAACAAAACCACCAGGAATTATGCTCAGCGGCTTAGTCACGGGTACCACCCCAATACCACCCCAACGTGCTCTGATGTAATCTCAGTTCAGATTGCCGAATTGTGACAATTGATCCAGATAAATGTCCCATACCCACTAATGATAATTCCTCCAGACCATGAATGGGGTTGTCTCAAAACTTGCAACCTCAAAATCCCACAGTTCGTCAACATTTTCTCATTAGAATTATTCCTCTTCCAGGTTCCCCATTTTGACTCATTTTGATCATTTTGTGACAACCCTAGATCCTAGGCTCCTAGACGATTAGCAATGCTTCACATGCAGAAGATTCACTAGCTTTTCAGTGTTTACTAATTTGGCCAATCTGGATAACTACCGTAGCCCCAATCCAAATGATGAGATTTAAGAATCCAAATACAGTAGATTCACCAGATGTATAGTCCATCAATTATCCTCATCATTCTGCTCATCAGAATGATGTTTATGATAATGACAATGGAAATGAGAATTATGACCATGATAATAACAATGACAATGCAGATGACTAGATGGCACTACTTTTATTCATCTCATGTGGGTAAAAAAACCCAATGTCATGTTTACCATCCCCCAGTCATCACCATAAATTTATATATAGGTGGTATAAACTTACCATTTCCAGTCATGGCTAGTTTATCAAGTTTATTGATGTTTATTCTTGTTTTACCCACATTACTACATTCACTTCATTCACTTCACATATTCGATTCGGTATCAAATAGTAAAAATGACATTGGGATTTACCAGTGGTTAACCATAGATTTACCATAGATATACCAGTGGTTAACCATAGATTTACCAGTGGTTAACCATAGATTTACCATAGATATACCCAGTTATGACATTGGGTAAAACCCACAGATGAAGACCTCGCCAGGTGAGTGACCCGAATGGCTCCGAGCTGCGGCCGCGGCCGGCCCTGACGGTGCTATGGTCGCTGAGTGCCTTGGAGCTGCTTCCCAGGCCCGGGACGTCGTGACGTTGGCCCAGGGGGACCGGCAAAAATTGGGGGTATATAATATATAGATAATGCTATAATAAATACCAATGGACCCACAACTTTGGCCATGTGACACCATGTTAAATGTGTTTTTTTCCACTGCAGACGGTCGCTCCCCATATTTTTTTCGCAAGAACCAACCATTTCCTTGGAGCGATGGAGCCAGAACCATGTCTCTGTTGGCATACCTGGACCCTGTCTGTGCAAGGACGGCGCAGTTGGTCGATTGGTTCTTGGAATTCCTGTGTCGGGAAGCAGTTGCAGGGCCCGGCACCCAATTGGGATGATCTGCGACACCGTGCGTTGACAAACAAAAGGGGGTTGTCTGAATATAGGGGTATCATGGGGTATCCCTAAATCCAGTGGTTGCTTATCATCAATCATCATTTTCCCATTCAAATAGACAATTTTGGGGTATATGGTTCATTATGGTTCTATTTCCAGATATTTCCAGACACACCCAAACTGAGCCAAACGAATTGCTGCAAGAATCAGACAGATGTCTTTGATATTTTGGAAGTGCTTTGGAACTTCCAAAGCTGAGGTATGTTCTCGGAACCAAAGCGCAGGCTGCTGGGGGTGCCCAATGAAGCACTGGGTGTTGGCTTTGAGACAAAGATCGATGTCAGGCTGTAGAGCTGTTCGAAAGTCTTGGAGCAGCACAGTCCAGTCTGCCACAGCTCACAACAAGGCACGACGGCAAGACCTTGGACTCCAGCGGCACATGTATCAGATTGAATTGACCCTGAGTGCTAGGCAGTTCCAAGGTGATAAAGCCACATATCAACCTAAAAGTTGAGGATTGTCTATGGTTGTAGCATGTTGTACCATCCGTTTCTGGGAGAAAAACTTGGGATGCCAACCATGGCTTTGGGTTTGGCCATGGGAAAGCTCACATCCTGCAGGCACCTCGAGACTCTCATGGCGGGACATTCCCCAGCTGCAGAGCAGGTGCGTGCACACTTTCACGAAAAAAACATGGATGTATACATGTGTACATGATGCAGACATGAATATGTTGACACATACCTATGGGGAAGTTTCCTTTCCATGAAATAAACCAGCTATTGGAGATCCCCCGATGTCCATTGACTTGCAACACTTGCAGGTTTTGTTCAGCCAGGTTCTCTTGGAGATCGGCCAAGGGAGAGAACTTCGAAGTGCTCAGGAACTTCTGGGTATGCCCAGGCGCACCGACTGGTGCTTGGTTTTTGTGATTTTAATGTTTCTGTTTTTTGTTCTTACCTTTATTATCTTTGATTTTCTTTTGGGGTTTTGAATGGAAGGAAAACAGTTGTCCAAAGCTGACCATGAGGTGCCCCCATGGTGGTCGCAAGGAAGATTTCACATGGGTATGTACACCGTCTTATGGCATGAACCAGCCAAATTTTTGGCATCTGTACCATCTTATGCCAGATGTGGTTATAGCAGCAGATTTGATTTACTGTGGGCTGTTGGAACCAATGAACTAACTGTGAAAACACATCAAACAACTTCGCTCTCAGTGGCAGATTTGGCAGCCTCTCGAGGTCCAAATTTATGGAGCAGCACCAATTGCTGGAGCCACGAGAGGTGTCCCGATGCTATGAGTCAGTTTCTTTGCTTGTAGGTCTCCTCACATCATGATGCTAAGTTATATACTTTTGGGCCACCCTTCGAGGTTTCGACTTGCAGATAGGGCCATTTTGTGTGTTCTACCATGTACTGTGCATCATCCAAGTTGAGGTCTGCTAAACAACAGGACCCAAGAAAATTTGAGCATGTGATACTCTGATGATTTCTGGGGAAACGCCTAAAGTTTTGGTGGCTTAAACAAACCAATCTTTTGGTGGAAAAGCGCGATGCCATAGTGGCAGGCCCATGAGTCCAGTCTGAACTCTGAAGACCTTAGCTTTGAAGGTGCCGGAGAACGGAGTGCTGGCTGTGGCACCTGTTGAGTCCAAAACTTGATGGTTTCATATGGTTTAAGAATGATAAGAAGGTTTAGGACCAAGCATCGATTTAGACACTTTGCATGACCAAGTCTCTGGTCACTTGGTCTCTGGATCACCTGATTTGTTGGGCCGAAATCAGGTTCTTCTCCAGATCTCAAGGGCCATGGCCTTGCGGTGTCCGGCAGTGCTATGTTCCACCACCAAAATCAGATTTTCGAGAGCATCAGAAACTGCGGATTTGACTGGTGCTTAAATCTGATTGTAGAATCATGTAGATATTTGTCTGTTAGATAGAAGATATAGAAGATATAGAAGTAACATCTGTCAATCTCTTGGGTTTTCATCCCCATCAACCGACGACGGCGCCAGCATCGGTGCGTTGTTTCAGGTCGTTCGCTGCTGGATGAGCTGGCCTTGCGCTGGGAGCTACACAGAAGTCAACAGGTGCCAGGATGCAACCGCCCTCCCTGGTCAGTTGGTGAGTTGATAGAGGGGTTCAGCTCTTCACAAGCGATAGGATCCGATAGGTACATTGTAATCCCTTCTTAGTGTCATGTTGTATCAGATCATATTCATAAGGCTGATGAGCAAAATCGAGGATGGAAATGGAGATTTAATCAACAAAAAGGGTGGTAGAGTGGGTATACAATGGGATGGTAGTGGAGATGTAGTGGGATAGATGGTTAGCAAATACCCAAAGTGAATGGGAAACTCATCAAACTCAATGGGTGATTTTCCAGCAAACCATGTTTGATGACACGGTAATAGACGGGTGGCCAACCTCTGTTAAAATTAGGCTGTTGATGGCCATGGGATCATGGGATGGATCCACCTCGAATAGCTGGGTTTTGATGGATTTTCAGCCCCGATGGTCCGCAAACTGTATTAACATGTATCATAGGGTTGTAGCCATTCCCGTGTCCAAGTTTCCTTGCCCAAAACATGTGTGCAGAAATATGCAGAAATATGAAATACATAGTGAATGCAGTGAATGTCTGTCAACATTCAGGTCATACCAGGTTTTTCGACAAAGGGCATAACAGTTTTTGTTTTCTCCCAAAAATAACGGCAGGGCCGTGCGATACCCAAGTCCAAGCAGTTGATGGGTCTGGTCTTGGCAGCCCGGATGCTCAGACTGACATCGACTGGATGGACTTTCGACTGTGCGAAGGAGTTGGTGTTGGTTTTGACCCTGCATATTTATGTAATTACATTTTTTCTTTTGGGCAGAGGGGGTTGATTAATACCGCTGGGATTATTAATCCTAACTTGACATTAATTATATCTTTATCTTCATAAGCAGCTTTTATGTTTTCATATGTTTTCTACAAGGAACTGAGAACCAATGGTCTTGAATTTGCCCCAATTTGGTATCTCATTTTGGGTGGTCATCGAAAGAGCCAATTCAGAGTTCAGTGTTTCTCTCAATGCCTTGATCACAGCCGGCTCTGTCAGGGGCTGAATGCGGCTCCCTTGCTGCGTGCGACGCCACACCCTTTGAGCACCATGGCCCAAGAAGAGCTGCGGGGTAGCGGCGGCTTTGAACAACAGTGGCCTGTAGGCGGGCGCTGATGGAGGAACCAGTGACATTTAAATCATTTAAGGCCTGGGTGATTTGGATGTAGCGACAAGAATGGGAATTCAAAATCTTGGGATTGAAGCAAGAAAGAATGGGGGGCTAACCAGCAAACAACTGGATGACTAGGGGTATTGCTCATATACTAGTATAGTTATTTGAACCCACCCATTGGTCCCCCCTTTTTGAGCCCCTGGTCTTTGTGGATACACTGAAATGCTTTTCTTTCTTTACAACTTTCTGAAAGTTGTTGGGAAGTTCAAAGTTCTTTCCTGGAAAAAAAAAGGAATGCTTCTGGGGTCGGCCCGGAACATCCTGGAACAAGTGCTTAGTGGTCACTTGCCTGCAGGTTGCTATGATGTTGACTGGGGACATCCCTTCTTCTGGATTGGCATACTTGTGTGGGGACCTGGAAAAACTTTGGCCTTTGGCCGGCAGTGGCAGTTATACTAAAGCTCCCTTGGAGTCTAGATATTAGATTGTGTGTCCTTGGACAGTATTCCAAATAAGCACCCTACTGTACTTTTGCTAGCACATGATGTTTGAATATTTTCAAAAGTTCACTTGGAAAGTTTGGTAAACACTCAAATGTCAGGCAGGTAAGGCTCTATGGGATCCAAGTTTGACTTTTCGTTGGTGGCCGCATTGATTTGGCCCACATGGACATTGTCACTTGACCAACATTTCAGGCTTGAGGCACCAAACCAAGTGTGTTGGATTCCGACTTTGGCACGTGGCTGTGGGTTTACCATTGGGTTTACCAGATTTTTCCAGTAAAAATGGTCCAACATCTGTTTTTTTTTTGCTCCCCTTTCGAGGTCTTGAGAGACCAGGACTTCCTTTACGATGCCACTGCGACTGCGCATGGGACTGAACTGCATGGGGCAGCACGACTGCGACTCCGGCTTTTGTCGGAAGAACGGTGGTGGCCGGGTTACCCAGGCATTTTGTTGAAACAAGTTCTGCAATGCAGGAAGAAAATGTGAACATCAGAGGCTATGCACTGTGAATCAAGCACGGGTACTGCAAGATCAAGCAAGTGAAAGTAAGGAAACTCTTATGAAGCACTTTACCCTTTATCCCGGAAGGCAAACTCAGCGGGAATGTCAGAGTGACTCAAAAGTGCGAAAAGATGCAGCGATCTGCGGAAGTGCGTCCATTCTGAGTCTCTGTGTTTGGGTAGGGTATGGGTCTAAAATGAATACCCCTGGACTCAAAGCTTTGCTCAGGTTTTTGATCAGAAACTATTTTGGCTCCAATCACTTGATACAAATTTGATCTAGATTTCAGCACATTATATAATGGGATGATTAGCGAACTCTTAGTATACATGTGCTCACGATTGTACTAATGATTAGTGTATCGACTATATAAACTTTGTGTTTTCTGATCCTTATCCCTGGCTAAGGCTGATCCTGCTACGTGCGTCAGCTGTTGACACCTGGATCGTGCCCAAAGATCCTCAACTCTTCAATCGCCAACTGCAGGTGACAGCAACGGCATTCGCTGACCGTCGATGACTGGCTATGAATCCTATGAATGTGAACATCAAAAGAGCAAATGGTTTTATAATTTTATACTAAATGATGTGTATTAACTTGTATTAACGGATTGTTGATGACCCCTGGAAACTTGATCAACATCGATGCCATAGGTCCATAGGTCTTGATCCATCCCCATATTTTGGTGTTTGTTTTTTTGTGACATCCCCGTTTCAGCAATTTTTCTTCTGGAGCCATTTGCACCTCGCAGGCCCGTGTGGCCCGGGCGAACAAGCTCTACCCCCTCGAGAGAAGGTGGGTTTTACCGACCATTTGACCCTCAAAATGACGGACATCCTTTCGATGGTCGACCAGAGATGATCAGTCTTGGAGTCTCGGGATGTCTTGGGGCAGGCCGCTCCAAAGAAAGATGCGAGACCTTGACAACGAGGCCTCAAGAGTCAGCAACTACTGCAGAAGTCCTGTTTGGATTGCGTCCCGCGTTGCCACTATTTTGGGTTGGTCTGTGTGGGTATGGGGCATTTCACCTTGATACCTTGTTGGTCACACCAAAATTTAGCTGCCGTAGATCATACAAAGATGACCCATACTCAAATGTCCGTCATGTGAAAATTCCAAATTCCCGACATTTTCCATTTTGCTTAAAAACTCCGAATGGAACCATTCGAAAACGGGCCCCCTTTCGAGGGGTAGCCCTTCAGTGCTGCCCATCTGCGGTACAGGCGGACAAGTTGCGGCAACTCTTCATGAAACAGCGCCTTGCCGTCTGATGGGTAGAGTATCTTGGGACATGGGTCTGTCATGGTCTGTCTGAAAATGGTTCGAAAAAACCACTGGAAAATGCCGGGAAAAGGATGATCAACCACTGGATGGAATGGGGGTAATTAGCCTATAGACAAATCCATCTCCGCTGCACCATTTTGGAGATTTGAAGATTTTGAACAGCCAGAAACTGGGAATCCTTGTGGACCAACCATTGACAGATGAAACTTTGCCAACTCGCTGTCACAGCTGAGGTTGCAGCAACAGTTGGACTTTATTTTTCCTGATGCTTTGGTAGGCGAGGCACAGCATAGGTTTTGCGGGCATTATTGGAATATTGGCACAAAGATTGGGTATAGCAGTGTAGCAAAAGCGATTAACCCAGTTGTTTGGCTGTTGCACATGATGTCCATTCATATGCACACGCGTATACGTACACATAATATAGACACAACAACTATTTTGTTTTGTTTCTTCCTTTCCCTCACGGCTGTCAAGGCATGTCTATTCTATAATATAGAGTACATGGTTGTATGAGTTGTATGTATCAACCGAATACGTGCCTGTCAACATATTTAATTACGGTATATACATATTAAATAGGATATTGCATCAGTGTGCATATGACGGCTTTGCCAGGCACGCCTTGCACACGTAGCACTATAGATAGATGATACATATGATATGACATAATACAATTATATATTATATACACATACATGTGGCATATGAATATGTATGTATGTATGTCTGTATGTATGTATATATATATATATGACACAGGCAGCCTGCACAAAACCCCAATGCGGAGATATGAGCTCGCAAAGATACGCATAGTGACTCGTATATTCATGTATGTATACGTACGATGATATAAATGTATTGATATCCAGAATTCAGAACTGCAACATCTTTACATGTGCAGATCTATATACTTCCGCAGCTGTAGGTGTTGATTGCAGCTTCGGATTGGCAAAGTCCCAAACTCCGTGGTTGGGGCCATCGCTGTCGTGGATGGGATGAAAATGGGGCCACTTGATGCGATCATTTCGTGACGTTTCTGGTGAGGGGTGCCCCAAAGTTGGATGGAATTGACCCATATCCATACATGGCCACACACACACAACAATCATGAAACCTGGTTCGCATATTGTCAACAAGCACCCATGTTGACCACCTGAATTATACTAGACAGTTTCATTTTTGCACTCACTCGTGGGTCTAGATGAGGCTTCAAGGCAAGTAGTTTTGACTGAACTTGATGTCCGGCAGTATTCGGCTGAAACCACGAATGGTTGGATTCATCAGAAAGTCATTCATGTTGCTTTGGTTGCGCAAGGATCTAGCAGTTGACTCACGAATAGTCACATTGTCAAAACAAAGAGTCTTGCAAGATGGAGACTCTTGCACTGAACACATTGCTCTCTCTTGAGTGACCGCAGTAGATTGTCCCTCGGTCCTTTGAATTTGGTAGCGTTACAAGAGGCCCTAAGTATGGATGATTGTCCTGCTCTTCTAAATCTGCTGAGTCGTCTTTTGGTAGCCTTAGCAGGAAAACGAAGAAAACTAATAAATCTATAGATATAAATAGAACTCTTCGTCCGACTGGGTCCGCGCCGACTTGTCGAGGCTGGGTTGCACAGGTACCAGGGTTGAGCAAAGCTGTAACGTCCTACAATGGAGCTTTTTTTAAAGGAGGGAGCTGAGGGAACCCAAAATTATCCCAAGTTGGTCATTCTTCCCATCTTGACATGGTGAAGCCCGCAGTTGTCTGTCGATTTTGCCTTGAACCAACCCTCTCCGTTGCGAGGTCATGGATGATACGGGTGAGCGGAGACAGGCACATGTTTAGTCCCTGAAAATGGGATTCCCAATGGGGTCTGTACCATAGGGAGGATGAACATCCATTTGCCAGCCATTTTGGTGTTGGGTACCAGGGTTTTGACCCATGGCCCATGAAACCACGTAGCAGTGGTTCCCATCCTTGTCCGGGCTCAAGGCTTCAAAGCTTGCAGTCCAACTACAGTTGAGGGCAACATTGTCCAGTCACGGTATTCTGCAGTATTTGTGGGTGACATTCCAGAATTTTGCGGGTGAAATATGGTGAAATCAGCTGATTTTGAAACCACATCCCAGTTTTCCACATTTTTTCTTATCTATTTCAGGCCTGGCGCCGCGATGCCCACCTTCTCCAGCCATGTCTGGTCAGGACGGTCAGGACGCAGCAAACTCTGCCTGGTCGCATGCCTTGTTCTGTCAAGCGCCGTTCTGCTGATCGATGCCAAGGAGAAGGTGCAGAGAGCCCAAAGTGCCCAAAGTGCCCAAAGTGCCCAACGTGGCTGGGATGTTGGCAAAGCAAAGTGCTGTGTTGGCAAAGTCTTGCGAGCACCTGATACCTTGATCCTTCAATCGCTGAATCGGATCACGGAATACGTCAAGCTGAAGCTGTTCCTGCGACCTTCCCAAGTGAGTGCCAAGGAGAATGCATGGCTGAACTCTGCGAAAGATGAGATTTGCGCCAGATTTGGCATCTCTCCTGTCCCCGAACTCCTGATTTGCGATGATAGTCGCATGCTGGCTCAAGCTGGACCGCATGGATGTCGCGGCTTTGGAAATGGCTGGGTTGTGCTCTCCAAAGGTGTTTTGGAGACGCTTCCACCTCAGGAGGTAGTGGCGGTTCTTGCACATGAATTGACACATGTGGCCAAGAATCACCATTTGAAGCGGGGGTTTCTAATTTTGGACTTCTACCGTTTGATGCTGCTCTGGAGTTTGAAACAGAAGGAGGACTCTGCCATGTTGGATTTGCAGACGACTGTTGCCACTGTGACCATGTGGCTCCTGTTGGGTCTCCGCAGTCGCAGTCAAGAGATGGAAGCTGATAGACATATGTTGCTGGTTGGTGATTCGAAAATTGTATGTTTTTTCTCTCTAAATCTAAATACCATTACATATACATATATACATATATACATTATATATATATATGTTTATATGTTTATATGTATATATGTATATATGTATATATGTATATATGTATATATGTATATATGTATATATGTATATATGTATATATATGTATATATGTATATATGTATATATGTATATATGTATATATGTATATATATGTATATATGTATTTTTTAACCTCTTGTGACTCTGATGATACTCACAAAGATCACAAAGATTCTGGGATCAAATCCCAGGTTGGACATTGTGACGCCCAGCACTGCCTTCTCTGCGCTCGCACGGATGCACTATCCGTTGGACGATCCACAGAAAGTGCTGGTAGATGCCAAGGAGCTCCTTCAGATTCTGGCCAGATCGTTGGGACAGAGGTGCATTTATATACACAAGTAACACACACACACACATTGCTTTGTATATATATATAGTCTACACATACGCATATATATATATATATGTATGTATACATGTTTATATGTATACAATATATATATATATATTACAATGACATGCAAAATATGTGTATAGTGTGTGTCGCGGGGCCTAGCAAGATCAGAGAGCTTTCACTTTGTTTTTTTACAAATTCGTGGCTGAGGAAGTCCCGATGGCTGCGCCTTAAGATGTTTCTGACGGGTGCAAGTCATCCTTGCCTGCCACTTCGCCTGGAGGCCTTGGAAGCAGCAAACGCCGGGGAATCTCAGCGGTAACTGCGGTAACGTGCGTCCGATGCTCCCGATGGCACCGGCGTTTCGCAAACGTTGACCGATGAAGATGACAAGATATGACAAGGAACATCCGCTCTGAGATAGGCCTCCTGTCGGGCGGTCCAATCCATGGATACTCCAAACTGGCAACGAGCTCTGACAGCGATGAGGAAAGTTCTTCCAGTATGAAGTAATATGCTGGAACATATGCTTTCCTGGTTGATTGTCCAAGGCTTCCCGAGATCTTCAGACCTTTGGCCATGAACTTTGTTAATGATGAAATGAACGCAAGAATTTCAAGGCGTCACCTAAAATTTCCAAACAGGACGCAGGTTTTGGCGCCAAGAGACTGGGGTCTGCCAGACTCTGCCAGATGCATTTGTGCCCTTTTTCACACTTGCAGATGACTCCTCTTTGATGTGCACAGCTGCAACAATTCATCAGACCCAAAGACTGGGCGCTTCATCATTGGATGCCATGGGTCGAACAAAAGACCAAAAGATCGAGCCACTGGAAACCACTGGAAACCGAGTGGTCGCATTTCAGTTTCACCAACGGACATTACTTGACCCATTTATCACCATATTTGATATCTATTTTATAACCATTGGAAACTACCAACTCGAATGATCCAACTGGGAGGAAACTACCAGCACTTTCCGACTTGGCCCGACAGGTCTCTCAGCCTGGCATCTTCACCCGGAGCGCATCTGCCGCTTGGACATTGGACATTTGGTCACAGAAATCAGAGATTTACCCGGGCCAAAATTTCAAAATGGTAATTTTGATGGGGCACATAATGTTTGCGTGTATATATATATATATACGTATATTATTATTATTATTACTATTATTATTATTATTATTATATATATTATTATTATTATTATTATTATTATTATAATATATATATTATTATATATATATATTATTATATATATATATATTGTATACATATTATATATATATATATATGTATTGCATTATGGGATGTTGCGGTATCCTATGATTGAGAAACACCCTTCAATGTTTGTTCATACTAGTTCAGTATAACATGCAAAGAGCACTGGTACAATCTTTTTGTAGCATCTACGGGTACTTAAATGAACACTGGATGCGTGGCCTGGGGGCTCTTGTCCTCCCACAGTCCTTGATTTCAACGATATCAAGAAGTCTTCACAATCCTTGTTACCTTTGGTAGGTCTGCATCAGCACAGGATGTGTAGGAGTTGTCAGATTGTGCAAGCAGAGAAAGAATCGTTGTTCCGAAACGACGTGCACCGGTCTGCAATTCTTCGTGCGTTTTAGGCCATCTTATCAGGCGGTGGTGTCATCGCGGCGAGTACAGATGTAGATGCACCCAATGAAAGAAGCCTGGACCCCAGGTGCAGGTCTGGCGGTGTTTGTTGTGGGGTTGAAGATTGAGGGAAAAACCTAACATATGTGGGCTCATCATCATTTATCGTGAATAGCATGATCACAAATGACATCAAATGGCATAAGATGGAAATTTTGGGGTAAATCACCCATTTCAGACATGCCCATGTTGCAGAAGATTGCAGAATGTCTCTTCATTCGGAGGGGGTTTATATTTGAGTAGTATTCAGCGTCAGGTTTGGAGCAGATGATTTCTTTCAGAATGTGAAAAACCAAACCATCTGAAACAAATATCACATCCTATCACATTGGTTTCCACTGGTGTTTTAAGGAAATGAATTTTAATAGGCTGAGCAGCAACAGATATCACAGATATCCCTTTTGTTTCATGCCTCGTGATGATCATCCCAGGTGATCCTTTGCTCACAAGACACCAGTCCAGAAGACAGGCTGGATTTTTGGTCGACCGAAAGACTGGGTATAGCCCAAGAAATTGGAGGCGAAATTGGGGCTGCTGTCCCAAGAATCTTGACATCAATGTACTGTACCCCCAAATCCTATGATTTATCATTAGTTTCGCCATTGATAATACACACATATATATATATATATTGTATACACATATTATATTTATACGCCATATGTGCATATGTATGTAATGTAATGTAATGTAATGTAACGTTATGTAACGTTATGTAACGTTATGTAATGTTATGCAGTGTCATGCAATGTAATGTAATGTTATGTACTGTTATGCAATGTTATATGTAATCTTATGTAATGTTATGTAACGTTATGTAACGTTATGTAATGTTATGTAATGTTATGTAATGTAATGTTATGCAATGATATGCAATATTATGCAATGTTAGGCAATGTTATGCAATATTATGCAATGTTATGCAATGTTATGCATGCATGCATACATGCATGCATGCATGCACACATATACACACATACATATACATACATACATACATACATACCTACCTACATACATACATACATACATAAATAAATAAATAAATAAATAAAACACACATGATATGTGTATATATATATGTACTTATCATATACACACATACATTAAACCTGCAATTGGGGTCACCACACTTTCAAACAAATAGCCAGGTGAACAGCGCACAGGTACAGGATCGCCTTCGGCGTGAGGCACAAGCGTGCCGTTGGGGGTGGCTGTTAGTTGTTGTCGTTGACCTGCCACAGCGACAGGCTGTTCAAAACATTATGGGCAGATTTACGCTTCCTGCAGCTTCTCGGACTTTAGAACAACATACCAGGTGTTATAAATACATATATATATACAACATGTGAATACAAATATATACAGAACCATATGTACATATGTATATGTATATGTATGTATATATATATATAAATACACGTACATATGTACATATGTATGTGTGTATATACACATGTATATGTATATGTATATGTATATGTGTATGTGTATGTGTCTGTATATGTATATGTGTATGTATATGTATATGTATATGCATATGTATATGTATATGTACACATATACATGTATCCCTATATACATATGTGGATGCGCATATGTACATGTGTATGCTATATTTGTATGTACGTGTATATACGTATACGTATGTGTATATATATATATATGTATATATATATATGTATATATATATGTATATATATATGTATATATATATGTATATATATATATGTATATATATATGTATATATATATATATGTACTGTATATATACATACGTATATATACCTGTGTATGTGTCTATGTACTGTATGTGTATATGTATATGTATAAGTATATGTATATGTATATGTATATGTATATGTAAATGTATTTATGTATCATTTATTTGAATATATCGTTACCAGATGCATTTTACTTCAAAAATCAATTTTTTTATGTTTATCATTCACAGTATATGTAAACTTCAGGGTACCCCAATTGGTTCAATACCCTGGAGGGGTCCTGGAGGGTCCTGAGACCGGTGGCCTGAGGTTTTATTATGCTCCATGATTGTCATGGTGATCTCTGCGACTTGGAGCTGTCAGTTGGAGCAGATTCGATTGGGAATTCGGAACAAGTCTAGGTTGGTCATAGTTGGTCTAGCTATTTTTCGATGTGGATGTTTTGGTTTGTGTTCCATGATAGCAGTGATACCTGGCTCAACCCGGGACTCGAGCATCGGTGCTCGAAAGCATCGGAACCTAGGCAGGGTCCATCCTGATGTTCTTCTTCTTTGTGCGAGCATTGCTGGCCACATTTTTCTACCAGAATCTGCCTTGTGATCAACCGCTCTTGACCTGAACTCAGATGGGCAAGATGTGAAACATGATCATAGCTTTTGTTTTTCTGATCCGTCCTGATGAATCAGGAATTAAACACATCTATTTGTCAAATGATGACTTGGCATTCTATGGCAGTTGAAGAAAGTGAAATGTTCAAATGTGAAAGCTTGTGCACGTTGCACATCTCCCGTGAATAGCTCCTTTCCTAGGCTGGTAGATTCTTTTACAGTCAAACATGGATCTCTGAGACGTTCGCTTCAGCGAGAAATTGCTGTGCACAAGACGATTCCAAAACCTACCGAGTAGTATGACAGAGCGCTTTGACCACATTTCATGGTTTTTCCATCGTTTTTCCATAGTTTTTTCTATGCCCAGACTGAGGAAATGCTATGTCTTTGTCTCTCTTGGGACCGGCACCTTCACCTCACGAATATCGCAGGCGGTGGTTCGCAGCTCGTCGGGAATTCAACCCCATAGTGGGTTTGTCCTGGGGCTACCGTAGAATCCAATGGAGCGAGTCATCATTCTCCTCATCATTTGGGTGTGTCTGAAAATAGTGTACCCCTAAACCCAATGGTCAATGACCATTATCCCTATTAAATGGCTATAATTGGGAATATACCCTATTTTCAGACAAACCCATTTCCAGCATTTTGGGGCATTCCCATTTTGAGACACTTTCGGTGACAGATTCTGAGGCCGGATGCAGGCTGAACGGATGTCGACCCGGACCGTGCCTGAATTGAAAGTTGGTTGGACCATGTTGACCTTCCGGCCCGATGTCCATGGGTTGATTTGGGTTCCCTCACTCATGATTTTCACATCACCCAATGCTGCCCCCCAAAAAATGCCTGAGCTCGCCAACTTGCGTCAAATCGACGATTTGAAGCGCTGCTCGAGGTGTGGCTCTGCTCCACTTTAGTCGCAATGGTTCCTGGCTGGATCACTCTGGTTTGGGGCTACTCCTTGATCCAGGACACTGGGATGGGATGTACCTGGGATGTACCTGGGATGTACCTGGGATGCCATAGGCTGGTCATGCCCATGGCAGCTCCTGGCCGCGCCAGAAATGTGAAACCTGCCAAAAGACCAACCCAGACCTTTTCTACGACCTGCAATCCTACATCAGATTCCAGCGACTCAGCTTCGGTTTGGTTCCGACCATGGTGAGTTGGTGTTGAGAGGTCACGTGAGGGGAAAGCCTTGCAAAGCTGGAGTGAACTCCACAATGCTTCTCTTTAAACAGGCAGGTGTCAGGCCGATATCAATGGCCTTGACTTCAAAAACTTTTGGAACTAAGTCAACTATAGAAGTATCCAAGATCAATCAATGTGTAGGTCCCTGATTGCTTTGCATGAAATTCCAGCCAGTATACGCCAATGTGCCACATTGACAAATTTACAGCGGTCCTGGTTGGCACTTGTCACATCAACCTTTCCAACCCGACTTCACGTCCAAACACGAAGCAGGTGAGTTTGCAAAGCGTCTTTGTGCATTTGCATAAGTGTTAACTAGGTAACCCTACACATCCCGGTGTGCGTTTTATTTCCATGTCTCTTTATCTCTATCTCTAACTCTAACTCTCTCTGTCTCCCTTTTCCTCTCTCTCTCTCTCTATCTCTGTCTCTCTTTATAGTCGAGCCGCCCCTTGCACCGGCACATTCGAAATTTCGAAAAATGGGTCGGACGCGCACAACCGTGGCAGTTGCCACTGAGGATTCTTGCTTCGATTACTTATCTTGCAGTTGAGGGCTTAGTGCGATCCATTGGAAAGAGTATACACTGTAACCTTGTCCCCTTGTAGACCTACCAATTCCTGGACTTGAGGGAAAACTCACATGAAATCCCTGCACTCGGGGATGCTAACAATTTTTCCTTAAAGCTTGCCATTGACAAGGCCCTTTTCAAGCTCGGTGATTTCATGGTGGCACCTTCGCAACACCACTTAGATGTCGGAATCGATAATTTGCTAAGGGGTTCGTAAGTGCGCTATAATCCCTTATAACTTATAACTGAGATGTATTGAGATAGACTCAGAACTGGGTAACCATGGGTAACCATGGGTAACCACTGCTTACCCATGATTACCCAGCATGGCTCAGCTTGCCGAGGTTGTGGTCCCAATGTTGGCCTTTGCTCATCGATTTTTGATGATGCTTCAAGCCATCAGTATGGGTGAAGGGGTCAAGGGTTGTGCCCTGGCTGACATGGCGGCCATGGCGGCCATGGCTATTGATGGCTATTGCAGGCTATTGGCTATGGGCCAGCCACTAGTAGGGGAATAAATGTAGCCGTCAGACATCGTTTTTGAAGGACTTCCATTATGGGCTGGGTGATTGTACCACGTATATCACGTTTTGACCATGGGACATACGTCAATGTATATACACGCATATCATATATCTTATATCACATACTGTATGTACGTATGTGTGTATATATATATATATATGCAATATTATGCAATCATATACAGCAGCTTTGTTGATTGACATTGAAGCAACCAAGATGAAGCCTTGCAAAGCTGTCAGTTGTCTGTTTTTGCTTGTACAAAATTGCCAGTGCAAAGCAAGCGAGGTAACTCTGCTACAGCAGCCTATCATTAGGTCAGACCTATTTAACACATTTTAAAACAAAGGATGCACTGAGCAAAAAGGCTCACAGAATGTCTAGACATCAGATATCATCAGATCATGGGATTTTCAGGTGGTGACAAGATCAAGGACCTTCCGACTCTTGTCTGAAGCAAAACACTGTCGGACGTTTAAGCGTCTCATCATGTTTTGCTCTTGCCAGATCAATCTGCCAAGGTCGTTTATACATGTTTTCATGTTTATACTATTTTATACTATACATTATTATACCAAATTGCCGAATTGCGAGCAATCCCTAAGGAAGATCCCCAACGACTCTCCTGAACTCAGGGATCCTGACGATAATAGCATCTTGGCACATCTCTGCCAGAGTGGCTGTTTGCTTTCTTCTTTCCAGGTTAGCTTTCACAAGTTCATGTTATGTGTTCTACTTGCTTGATCAGTCATCTTTGTCCCTTCTTACTTTGTTTGCAATACTCGGAGAAGTATTGGCTGTGTTGCCCACCTCTGATTTCCTCGCCTCAGGCTTGATGGAGTGCTGCATTTGCCTCACATCATTTGCTTCGCAGAGCGTCGCACCTGATATGGCAATAAGAATTGAACGACATGCAATACCGAGCAAACTTGTACTAGGCGACTGAAGGTTTTTCAGTGGGCCAACGATTGGAGCATCAACTTGATAGGGTGCCTGTAAAGTCAGACACTCGTCCATTTGTATCTTGGGTCAATGATGAAACATGCGGAGCTCGGATCCTTGTCAACCGGGGCTCGAGGTACGTACACCATGTGGGCACTACTTCCATGAAAAATGCCTGACACAATGGTGTCAAGCGCATGTGAGCTGCCTGCCCCCTTTGCAAAAGCTTGGTGGCGGATCCGGAGAATTCAGACATTCTCGGTGCCTTGGATCATTTGAGTCAATAAGATGTGCAACAGCCATGTCCAGACGGCTCAGGGGACGACTGCAACAGCGACAGCCACCTGACAGCGTGAGTGATCTTTCAGGTGCTCGTTAGTTGGGAACTGGAATGGGATGCTGAGATTATGGATTATATAGCATTTTTTTGTATTTTTCAACCACCAACAATGGATAACTTGCTAGTTTACTGAGTAAACTGCTAGAAACGACAAAATTGTAGCTGGGTACCCCATCCTGCAGGTGTTACCGGCTGAAGACATGTCACGCAGGCAATCTGGTGCTAATTTAACAGAGCAATGACAGATCAGATCCAGCATGTTCATATCATAGATGTTGTTACTTGTTCCCATCCAGAAAAGGTCATTGTCCATGGGCAGGTTGGCTTCACTTGTCACTTTGATTGAACAGTGCAGGAAACTCCAAGTCTTGGATATGAGTCCCCGCAGAATGGATGGATTAGCAGATTAGCACTAGAAACTAGCAATTTTGTGGGTCCCTTGTACCCACCCACTTTCCACCAGCATTCCAGGTGTCAGGACAAGAACAGCGAACAGCGCGAGACCAGCGGTGCACTGTCGTTGTAAAAGAATGACCTTGGGACAGTGCTGCCCGAAGATTCTGAAGCGTAAAAGAGAGACCTAGGAATCGAGGGGCGCAGGTTTGCAAAGCAGGTATGTGGGGTCTTTTTGTGCAGCGAGCAATGGTTATGTTGAACTGTCAGCATGTTTCTTTGGTTCCAGGACACACACTTGGTGACTAAATATGGACAGCTTCTGAAGTCGTAAGCTCTTTATGAAGTACATATCGATACCATCTGATACTCTTTAATTGCCGTGTATATATATATATATATGTACATAGATAGGTACACGCACACACACACACATATATATATATACATACGCACCAGATAGTGCTCGGCACGTGCGGGGGCGGAAGTCTCAAACAAAATACAACTACTAAAGGAAGAATATGGCCTATAGGAAAGTTTTTGAGATGCAGAAGCGACGAAGTGTTGAAGTTGTCAGGTGCATCAAAGAATGAGCAAATGGTTGCCAATGAAAGGATGAACCAATGAGTCGATGAATCAATGAGCCAATGAATCGATGAATCAATGAACCGATGAAGCAACGAAGCAGTGAATCAATGACCCAAGGAACCACTGAAACAATGAATAAATGAATGAATGAACGAATCAGTGAATCAGCGAATAAATCAGTGAACCAATGAAACAGTGAATCAACTAATTCAGGATTCAATGAGCCAATGAGTTCCATGAACCAAGGAACCAATGAATCAGTGAATCAATGAAACAACGAAGCAATATATCAACGAGTCAGTGAATCTGCCAATCATTGAATCAATGAATCAATGAGTGAACCACTCAATGAACCAATGAATCAGTGAATCAACCAATCAATGAATCAATGAATCCGTGAATCAATGGGTCAAGGAACCAATGATGCATTAAATCAATGACCAATTGGATCAATGAATCAATGAGTCAATGAAGCAGTGGATCAATGAATCAGTGAATCAGCCTATCAACGAACCAATCAACCAACGAATCGATGAAACAGTGAATGAGTGAGTTACTTTTCTTTGTGAGCTACTTCTTCACTGAGCGGCCCCTTCGCTGAGGAACCTCTTCTCTCAGCTAGTTTTCCTCTGAGCAGCCACTTATCTGGGCTACTTCTGCTCTGACCTACCTCCCAGCTACCTGTTTTGCAGCTGCAACCCATTTCTTTTCTTTGCCCAGTTGTTACCATGCGTTTAGCCACCTCCAACTGCAATCCTGCATGCCGTAGCAGCGATTATTTGCTGCGCGCAGCCGTGCCAATGCATTTTGTGTGAGCCGGTTGCAAACCCGAGTAGCAGGAGCATCGCGCCAAATCGACCAACGTTTGCGCAGCGCTGAGAGCGGGGACGATTCCGCGCTGCTCCGAACGTGCCAATTTTTGCGATTTGTGCGACAAATCGAGCTCTGGCCACAGTCCTGTGCACTTTTTGTCAACTGGCCAGATTGAACCCTGGAACCGCGGAAACAAAGACCCTCCTTCGGCGACCCCACGAGCCACTTTACCCGAAAAAACGTAACAGGGTTTCACGCCCGAGAGTGTTTTCACCCATGAATTCACGGGTTCCCGAGCTGTTACTCTTCTATTGCTCCCACACTTGCCCAGAACGTTGTTGACATGATGATGCTGACATGAGGATGACATGGTGACAAGTCTGGACATTCGTCCTTAACTCGGAAATTAACTCGGAAATTTTCAAGTAAATTTCCCGTCTCCGTTTCGCAATCGTTAGTTACCCCCTCCCAAAAAGGGGTGTATGTGAGTGAAAGGACCCACCATTTTTAGAGTCCCGCCACGATTTGTTCCGCGCCATGGCGAACTTTTTGGTCCATGGCCACCGTGGCTGCTGTACTTTGGCAGCACGTCAGAAGGGATCCAAGATGTATCCGGTAGGTCTACACGGCGCGGCGAAGCCGGAATCACAAAAGAAAGGATGAGACAGGTGACTTAGCAGTTTGATATGATCAACGTGACTGCAGTAGTCAAATGTGTCCCTCTTCATTTTTCTGAACTTCATCCCAGAAAGGTTTTTTTTTTGGGTACCCGTGTTGCAGTGACACGACCCAAACTCTTTGAGTTGAGGCAGCATTTACGACGTCGGAAACCCAGCTGTCACTGCTTGCTGTCGCGTCTCTTTGGCCCCACAACATGCAGAGGAGTTTTATGGGATCCTGATAGTTATATAGTGATGATGTGTAGTATACCACTGTACCAGTGTTTATACCACTAATATACCCGGAATCATCAAACCAACTGTTTTTTTGGAAACTGCTCATCTTGGTCGTAAGAGAGGTGCCTCTGAGGTCATTCTCCTGTGAAGCGCATTTGCTCCAGCAATTGAAGGCAGGAAAACCGTTCTGAAGAAACACATTCTCCAAGCAAGTGTTCATATCGACTCGTGCCGCTGCTATCATTTTCATTCATTTTCCGTTTTGCCTTTGAAGATTCTTGAAAACAAGTAAAAATTACTTTACTTCGTGTGATCCCCACCATGACATTTATACATTTTCTTGCTGGCAAATCTTCTGGCATTCTATCTGACATATCTTCTGACATTCTATTTGGCATTCTATCTGGCATATCTTCTGGCATTCTATCTGGCATATCTTCTGGCATTTCTTCTGGCATCTGATATATCTTCTGGCATTCTATCTGGCATATCTATCTGGCATATCTTCTGGCATATATTCTGGCATTCATATCTTCTGGCATTCTATCTGGCATTCTATCTGGCATTCTATTCTATCTGACATTCTATCTGGCATATCTTCTGGCATATCTTCTGGCATCTGGCATATCTTCTGGCATATCTTCTGATATCTTCTGGCATTCTATCTGGCAAATCTTCTGGCATTCTGGCATCTGCAGCTCTTCTGGCATATTATTCTTCATTCTATCTGGCATTCTTCTGGCATTCAATCTGGCATATCTTCTGCATATATTCTGGCATTCTATATCTTCTGGCAATTCTTCTGGGGCATATCTTCTGGCATATCTGGCATTCTATATCTGGCTGGCATATCTTCTGGCATATCTTCTGGCATATCTTCTTCTGGCATAATATTTTCTGGCATATCTTCTGGCATTCTATCTGGCAAATCTTCTGGCATTCTATCTGGCATTATCTTCTGGCATTCTATCTGGCATATCTTCTGGCATATCTTCTGGCATATCTTCTGACATATCTGGCATATCTGCTGGCATTCTATCTGGCATATCTGCTGGCATTCTATCTGGGCATTCTATCTGGCATTCTATTTATCTTCTGGCATATCTATCTGGCATATCTTCTGGCATCTCTGGCAAATCTTCTGGCATTCTATCTGGCATTCTATCTGGCATATTTCTGGCATTCTATCTGGCATATCTTCTGGCACTTTGGCTATCTTCTGCATTCTTCTGACATTCTTTCTAACTTTCTTCTGCACATTCTTTGTCCCATATCTTCCTACATGAGGTCCGGCAGGGAACACTTGGCGTGGATACTCGCGGTTGAGGTCCGGCAGGGAACACTGGGCGTGGATGGTCGTGGTTGAGGTCCGGCAGGAACACTGGGCGGGGATGATCGTGGTTGAGGTCCGGCAGGGAACACTGGGCGTGGATGGTCGTGGTTGAGGTCCGGCAGGGAACACTGGCGGTGATGGTCGTGGTTGAGGTCCGGCAGCGAACACTGTGGATCGCGAGTCGCAGTTGAGCAGGAGGACGAGGAGGACAACGAGACGAGGAGGACAACGAGAGGAGGAGGACAACGAGAGGAGGAGGACGACGAGAGGAGGAGGAGAGGAGGAGGAGGAGCAGGCAACTTAGATAAAATCTAACAACCCTCACCTGGCAGGTGGGGAAAAAAGTAGCCATCAGAGCAGATGCGTTTGGAACAGTCCATCACGACCTCGAGGGGCTGTTGATTTCCATCATCTAACAAGAGAATAGCACCAACACAGAAAATCAACAGGTTCCAACAGAGAAAACAACAGAGCCACAGCAGTCTGCAGGTCTTTGAAGGTTCTCCCACAGCTTTTGGTGCCTCTGCTCCTCTGGAACGCTTCTTGGAGTTACTGGACACTTGCATCGAGAGCCGGAAGGCCCGATGTGGAGAGTAAGACATTTGTCAAAAGGATTTTTAAAAAGGATTTCAAAAAATATGTCAAACAAGAAAAACAAAAAATCAATCACTATTTGTAGAGAGATTTCGAACAGTTTCTACCTCTCCCATTGTTTTCAACAGCACCAGATCCGTTAGGACCAGGATGATCGCTCGGAAGGAGGATGGAGACCTGAGGTGGACCGGATCTTCAAGGTGCCGGGGCTCCGGGTTTCCAGAAACACAACACCTCTGATGAAATGGGTACTGGCTTATGGACATAACCATACTTAACCTATCTTAACTTGATTTTAATTACCTGATTGTGTACTCATGTATGAGACCTGTTTGTAGCCACAGAGCTGCTTAATGCATCTTAATGCTGCATTGCTGAATGTCACAAGATTGATGCATCGATGCAAATTTCCTATATAAGTATCATGCGCTGAAGTCCATTTGGCTCGAAACGCACCAGCACTTTGCAAAGTGTGACATCCTTCAAGCTTCTTCAAGCCCCTTGTAGTCATGAAGCTCATGAACATTGTCATTGTGTTGGCTCTCGCATGTGTTCCGGTGTAGAGCGACGATGCAGCGAAGAACCTCCGGGGAGAGTCAGCAGTCGGGGTTCCAGAAAAGAAGCTGGATGCCGCAGCCCAGAAGGAATCCGCTGATGAAGAGGTTGGTGCTGTCCTAGCGGAGATTGATACTAGTGCCGAGGCTACTGACGGCGTTGATGAGCAGCAGAGGGCCACAGCAACATGCAAACGTTGGGTGACGTGCACCAATGGCTTCTTTGGCGGTGTTCGCTGCTCCGGTGGCCGACACTGCACGCTTTGGCTTTGAGCCTTCTGATCTTGATGCTCAGCAAAGCAGTGCCATGTTTGTGGCTGGCGGGCGTGAAATTTATGGCAAGTTGCTTTTGTGGCCCGTCAACTGTAAAACTACAACAGTTCAGAGGCATTTGCTTTCACTGAATGAGCCTTGTCTTGACCAACTAAGGTGTTGGTTGAATTCAAATGGCAGGACACTGTGAGTGTTATAGTTGCTGGCGGTCCACAGGTCGCCTGGCCTTTTCTTTGTTTTGGGGGGTGGGGGGGGTTGGGGCGTAATACGTTCCTTTTGCTGCGTTCGCTTGGACTTTTTTTTGTTACCTATTTTTATGTTCGCTTGCAGGCGCCGCATCATCTTGCACGCAGACGTCATGCTACGCTTGCACGCTGCTGCATCATCTTTACGCAACACGTCGTGCTACGCTTTTGGTCGCAAGTGTTATGTTACGCTTGCACGCTGCCGCATCATCTTGCACGCAAGACGTCATGCTACGCTTGCACGCTGCTGCATCATCTTTACGCAACACGTCGTGCTACGCTGTTGCTGGGGGGGGTGGGTGGGGTTGGGGGGGGTGGGCGTAATAACGTTCCTTTTGCTGCGCGTTCGCTTGGACTTTTTTTTTGTTACCTATTTTTATGTTACGCTTGCAGGCTGCCGCATCATCTTTACGCAACACGGCGTGCTTTCCAAGAAAGCTGGAACACAAGTCATTGACAGAAAGTGGAAGGCATTGAAAGACTTTTGCCAAGCAACTACCACCGAAAGATCAATGGCCCACATGGCAGCCAAGTCAACCCTCGGATGAGACAGCGTGTCTTTCAGTTTTGCTGGCGCAATTCGCTGAAATGGCCGAGCCCAGCACAGTTCTTAAAACAACTGGCAAAGTTGCAAGGAAAAAAATTGTAGCGGCGTTAGTTTTCAGGATGGTGAAAACTTGCCACCTTTGCCTGACGTCTGATTTCCAATGGGCAAAATACCTAAATGATGGTTTCGTAACCAGGCGACTCATGGACCCGTGACCTTATAGTTATAGATTATATTTCCCACCTCAAGTGCGCCTGCATTATGTATTAATTATCTATTACTATGTCACATTATGTCAAAATTATGCCTACACAGATTATAAAATGAGGATGCACCGTTCTGCCCGACCCACCAAGTCTGACAGCAAAAAGTCAACGTGCTGTTCGCAGCAGGTCCTGGAAACATAGCGAAACGACCATGGAACCATTTTCCAAACTAGTATCTGGTTTCAATATGGATGTGGGTCTGCATTTTCTTAAATTTACCTGTAAACAGCAATTGGGTTGTATTTGCATATGACTGAAAGCGGGTACTGGTGGGGGGAACAAATGGAATGTGCAGCTGGTCCCATACATTCTCAAATGGTACACTCAGAACTTCGTGCCGGTAAAGCTTGGTAAAGGAATAGAAAGACATGGGTTCCACAAATGGGGGATCCCCAAAATGGATGATTTATAATGGAAAATCCGATTGACTTGGCTGATTCAGGGGTACCCCCATTTTAGGAAACCTTCATCTACCAAGTGCCTTCCCTGTTCAGGCAACAGGTCGCACAGCTCCTGAGCTGGCATTCCTGGCAGCCCTCGGAGTGGAAAGGCTTGGTGGGAACTCGCTGGAGAGCACAATCTTTCTGCGGCACGTGAAGCAGCAGACGATCCGAAGAGTTCCCAACTCTGAAGGTGAAGCAGTTTGGATCATTTTCGATGCTTCAAAATGGCTAGGAAGGAGTATCCGAGTATCCCCCATTTTCAGACAGATCCACATTTTCCTGTGGGGATATGACAATATGAAGACCGGGACCCCATCCTTTCATGTGGTTTGTGATGTTTCGTAGATGTTTTGGGCAGGTCAGTCATGTTTTTCCGCTGTCTTCACCTATCGTTCTGGATCATCAATTTCATCACATATGATGCTTTTGAGTGATTCGTTATCACAAGTTATCATGCTCATATCATGTCTATATCTCAGTCCGAGTCCTAGCCTGATTTCAATTAGCTTTGCATGTTTAGATTGTAGAACTGCTTATGTCAAACAGGGAGATTTGCCCTGGGAGTTTTGGGGTTTCCCTCAAATTCTCAGGTCCCAAACCCAGCTACCCCTCAGAGCTCTCAGGTTATGTACACTTCCCTGGACAGCTACGATCGCAAGTTCTTGGAAGCGCAGAAGTTATCCGTGGAGACGCTCGGTGAAGGCAGAGCAAGATGCTGGATGTGGGTATCTATGGATTGTAACCCATACTTAACATTACATAACTGCTTTAAACATATATATTCCATTAATCTAGCTGAGGTATAGTATGGATATTGACCACATACTAACTGGGATGCAAGCCCAAGTGGATGTTTTCCACGATGATAAGGTGTGCCAAGCATGTTGGCCGGTTTGATTCGCACCTGCAAGACCAACAATTCTTGGGTTAGGACTTTTGTGATCTTTTGTGTTTTTTTGCCAGTGGACCACTTCGGGACTGAATTCAGATTTTACATATCATTACATACATGTGCAATTTACTTAATCTATAGTATAGATATTCATATAGTATTTACACAGTCATGACATGTTATAACATGTCATAACATCTAATGTGAGTCTACTAATATATATTTATATATACTAGGTTCACAATTCGTACATTTTTTATTATTTTTGTTTGCCTGTTCATTGCCCGGCCTCCGCCCAGCCTTAGAGGTTCAAGGTCCAAGGTCCAAGGTCCACCGTTCAACCCAACATCATCCTATAAGTGTAGACCTCAGTCAGCTTGTTGTATGTTTTGGCAATGCTTATCCCTTTTCTTCCCCATCATGTTGAATGTCCCATTTCCCAGGTTTGGAGCTGCTGCCGTGCCTTTGCAGTTCCTCCTCCTTGACCAGGTGCTAGCCCATCGTTTTTCTTCATTCAAGTGCTTTCTAGGGTTTGCTTTTCAGCGACTCCTGGACCTCCAATTTTTGAATCCTTGCTGTATAGCCCTGCTGCAGGTGCTGGGCTGCTGCCAGTGGGGAGGTGCAATTTTGTGGTACGTCGGCGCCTCAATGTTGGAATCGTTCTTTATTTCCAGCCAACTTTTGATCATTGAATTGTTGTTGCCGACATGTCAAGCTGTGCAACTTCTTGCAGCATGTTGGATCCTGAAGTGCTCACATCCAGTCCAAGGTCCACGGTCCACCGTCCACAGTCCGCTGTCCGGTCCAGGGTCCGTTGTCCAGGGTCCGCTATCCAGATGGGCAGCAGAACTCCCGGAAGCAGTTGTTCAAGATTTCGAGGAGTTTGGGGAAGAACACCTAGCTCCTGCTCCTGGGCTGGTGGTGGCGGTGAAGCTGAACCTGCTGACGCTGGACCTGCTGGCCAAGCTCGTGGCGCTGCTCACCCTGGCCTTCTTCGTCCAATTGATCCTGCCAGTGCCGAGTATGCCAACAGCGTCTTGCGGTGCGGGATCCGAATCTCCCCAGGTGTGATCGGATTGACATCTGAAACGATTGTGGAACACTATGGGTGCTTGGGACCAGATTATCAGCCTTTAACGTCTGTTTTTCTTCAGTGAATTTGCTGTTATTGTTTCCTTTTGCGACGCATGCATCTCAGGCACATTGAGACAGCCCCCACGTTCATGAGGCAGGAGTATGACACTGCACAGGAGTGGTCATGGGCCTTTGGCGGATTCAACTTTCCACGGGCATCTTTCTATCCGGAGGGGCGGCGAACTGGTGAAGCAGTAGGCCAACTGTGTGGTAGTTCCCTGGCCTGCTTAAGTTCCAAAGGCAGCTTTTGGCAAATGATATTAGGAAGGGTGCCCGCTTTTATTTTTTTAGAGCTTGTGCTCGCGCTTTCACAGGCTTCCCCCGTGTTGATGAAGATGTGGTGATTGAAGCGCTCGCTGTGATTGAGAAGTTGCCTGACCGTCATCGGGTCCAGCAAGTCATGCACGGCGTTCCTTGGCAGCATGAAATTTGGCAAGTTGTTAGTTTTAAACACAGCATGCTGTTGCTGGTTTTTATTTGCATGGCCTGCTCCTCATTGCTTTTGTAGCTGTTGCCAGTACTCTTTTGCTGAAGCCAGCAGCTAAGTTGCTATGCCACGGCCGTGAGCTTCTGGAGCAGTTCATTGCAGATGAGTCCAGTGGCAAGAAAGTTTTCCATATCCTCATGCATCCATACACCCTGCACAGCTTGGCACGTGGCCACACGCTGAGGTACTTTGCAACTTGGCAATTGGTTCATACTGCATTTTTTCTAAACTAGTTACTTTTATTTCATCGGGCTACGTTTTCATACAGTTTCATTGTTTCTGGCCGATTTGAGGACTCCACCGACTGGAAAGGGTGGCCGATCCCATGTTGCCGGGAGAACGACAACATGCCAGATGTCAGCGCCTACGGTCGAGACTGCATCAAGTATGTGAAGCTCTTCATGAAGTTGGCTGGTTTTACGAGGGCAGAACCAAGGGCCCTTCCTGGCCAAGCGCAGGCTTCCCAATTGCGATCTACAGAAGACAGGACACGGAGACAGGCCAAATAATAGTTGAGCTATAATGAATAAGTTGGTTTACACAACAACATTTCCAGGTTTTGCATTGGGAAAACATTGGTTGACTCTGGCAGGAACGCGTCCTTGCTTGAGAAGTGCTTCTTCACAGAGCGCTTTACCCCTGAGCTGGTCAATTTGCTGAACGGCTGCGGTATCAAGCTGGGCGTAAATCACACCACGCTGAAGCTCTTTGGCAGAATTTCTTGATTTATAGGCTTCAGGGCTACATTTCCACCCTTGAATGCTCAAAAACCTAACTTTGAAGCTTGGAAGGGTATTTTGGTTTACTTTAAGGGTATTGTTTGTTTCCAATCCTAGGCGCGCAGAGCAGTTTTACATCACCCGAACTCTTCCGCCTGGGATCCGTCAATTTACCCATGCGCTGCCTGGCAAACAACCTCCATGGACACGCAGTCTGTGGGCAACCAGCGACGGATACTTCTACGTCCTGAGATTGCAGCAAGCTGACGTGAGCCATCGTGCGTTTGTGACATTGATTTTGCTTGCAAAAGCTCCTTGGTACTCCTTGATGTGTTTGATTGTGTTTGGCTTTTAGGTGGAATTCAAACAGTTTTTCATTTTTGAATGTTGCACAAAATCAGGCTGACGTGGTGAAAGGGGACTTCAATGAGGCGATGTCGGATTGGTTCATGTCCAACAAGCGGGAGGTTCCTTTCACATGGACTGGCGAGACAGAGGACGATTCGGCCTGTTCTTGAATGGGTTCAAGTTCGTGCCTTGATAACATTTGATACCATTAATTTGGCATTTTTCATCATCAATGCTTTCCCATTTTCTTGCCCTTGCAGCAGTCAGGTCCAAGCTTTGTGCATCAAAAAGGTGCCGCTGCTGATGGCATTTGAGAGGGTCCAGGATTCGCAGTGGAAGCCATTTGAGTTGCATCTGGCACAGTGCTGCAAATGGGGGCCCGGAGTTAACATGGCGCTGCACACTGGCCGTGGGATGTTTCCTGAAGAAGACGACCGCCCTCGCCGCGACCGGCCCCGAACATATGCAGGCACAGGTGGTTGGGGAGGCTAGGGTGGCGGGGGAGGCGGTCCTGCGCAGGCTGCTGGCAATCGTGGCTTCCAAGCTGGCCCTGGTCCTGCTCAAGATTTTGCTCCTGGTGCGCAGCCTGCTCCCGACGCGCAGCCTGCTCCCGGTGCGCAGCCTGCTCCTGGCCCACTCCAGACCAAGGTGCACAGCCGCAGCCGCAGCCGCAGCCTGCTGCCCAGCCTGACCCCTGGCAGTGGAACTGAGTGCTGCCACTAGCATGCTCAGGCTCAAGGTCCATGGTCCATATAGTCCACAGTCCACAGTCCACTGTCATTTGAAAACAATTTTGGAAGAGAATGCCAGAGAGCCTGACATGCAGTAGATTTCAAGCACCTTGTGGTGCACAGCATCCTAAATCAGCGATGCCCCTTCCACCGCCGGTACACATTTTGCGATGGATGAAATAGTTGTCCGCTGTGATCCTGATTCTATAGTTTGAATTTAGCTGGTCCCCAAGCTTTACGTAGATTGAATCACCATGGCAGCTTTTGCACGCTCAGGCTGGGCAGTGCGTTCTCCTGCTTCGACGAGGTGCAAAGCACAGCATGCCAATGTGCATTCCCAGCCACTGATTAATGATTAACGCATGCTTTTCCAAATTTGCTTTATTGTGCAGCCTGATTGAGAAGTGCTGGCCAGCGTTGTTGCATGGGGAGGTCCCAGTCCCAAGCGATCTTCAAGTTCAGAGCTTGCTTCGGTGGCTGCAGGCAAGGGAGCTGTAGAATAGGGTTCTTTGAATCATATGTGTCCCAATTATTTTGGTGGCCTTTTTTGGTTGCAGTTAAGTATGTTCTTTAAAGCTGATCCGCATTCCTGCCAGGCAGTTGCTGGCAAGGGGGCACTTTACCCCTGCTCAAGGCACACAGCGTTGCCATGTCACCAATCAATGGCAAGTGACTCTGTGCGCTTGTTTTGTTTCAAGTGCTTGTGTTTGCAGCTGAGCTATTGGTGTTGCATGGGCAGGTGCAGAAAGGCAGTGCTTCAAGCAATCAGAGGCCACTCATCCGTCATTAAGTGTTGCGCAGGGTCTCTGCGAGGCTCTTTGGCAGAATTTCTTGACGTATAGGCTTGTGGGCTACATTTCCACCCTTGAATTCTCAAAAACGTCTCTTTGAAGCTTCGAAGGGTATTTTGGTTGACTTTAAGGGTTTTTGCTTGATTGCAATCCTAGGCGCGCAGAGCAGTCTTACATCACCCGGACTCTGCAGTTTTACAACAGCCATGGAGAATGATACCTTCAGCGCCTGTGCATTCAACAGTCCATCTGTCAGTTTTTTTGTACTGATGTAGTTTTTTGGCACAAGCCACGGTCCAGGGTCCAGGGTCCACTGTTCAGGAAACCACTGCCATGGATTTTGATACTTTGCCTGGAGGTTTGCTGGAATGGCTAGATGATTGGGGCCCACGCATGAAGCAGAAGGTCACTGCAGCACTTGGGCAATATGGCCCTGCCACTGCCTTTCCTTCAACTTTGCTTGTGGGCACCGATTGCAGTGGGATTGAGGCTCCAATTCATGCACTACATGGGTTGGGCATTTCCCATGAGCATTGCTGGTCTCTGAGGTAGCCAAAGGACCACGGGAAGTCCTTCTGGCAAACACCCCTCCAACGGGCCACGTTTTTGAGGACGTCTTGGATGCCAAAGTGCAGATGCCTGGGTATGTCCATTTGTACGTCAGTGGATTCAGCTGCAAACCATTTAGCACCTTGCATAATGGAAGCAAATTGTTGGGGGAGCCTCAGGCGAAGATTTTCTGTGCTTTGGTGAGCCGCATCATGGCAGTGAGACCAGCATGCTTTGTCCTTGGGAATGTCCAGGGCATCCGACGTGTGCAGGCACAGGTGGTCAAGGCATTGCAAGACAAAGGGCTTTACCATGTAGCCACCTTGAAGATGGATCCTGGTGACTTGGGTGAGCCTCTTCAAAGGCCAAGAGTCTACTTCTTTGGGGTGAGGGCTGATGTAGCAACTGTCAGCCCGACACAATTGCAGGAGATTTTGGCAAGTTCTTGGAGCTCTGTAAGGTCCAGCTGCATGGTCCAAGGTCCACCGTCCGCTGGTCCATGGTCCAGTGTGCCACTGCAGAGCAGAATGCTTCCAGACAGCCACTCTGCTGTTGTTGATTCCAGTTGGCTCGCAGGGAGAGGTGGCTGAAAGCTTGGCTTTGGGAAGTCCAATATAACTTAGATTTGTCATCCAAAGTAAAGCCAAAGATAGCAAGCAAACTGGTTGCCAATGCTTGTTTAATCTTGTTTATGTTCCAGGGTCAAAGGTCCTTGGCACCAGCTCTTGAAAATACAAAGGGGCTCCACTTTTCCAGACCCCAGGAATACACTCCTGGTTTGCGCAAACCGAGGGTCTATTGAGGGTGACAAAAAGGATGCCAATTCATGCCTCTCAGCTTTTAGACATTCCTTGACTTTGACCTTCAGCCAATACACCTCCGGTTCGTGCAAACCGAGGGTGTATTGCAAGGGATTGTGTCCTCTACAATACACTGCAATACTAACTACAAGCTGTTACAATACACTCCTGGTTCGTGCAAACCAGGAAAAAATGCGTTCCAAGGATCTAGAGCTTGCATCCAAAGATGTCAGGACAATCCAGCGTATCAGCTCATGATTTTTTTCGTATTGAAGGGTATAGTTTCAACATTGAAGGGTAGGAGATGCTCTCATCATCTTGCAATCAAGCCTTAAGTTCTTGCATCCAAGGGTCACAGTCAATGGTGCTGAATCTGCATTTCCAAGGCCTTCAATCCATCAGCCAGGGCCAAGAGCATTACCAGCTGCCGCGGCAGTCAAGCGCATTGGCTGCAACTGCTGTACTGCTTGCTGCATAGATTTGTGACATATGGTGTTGTGACCAAGTTCAGCAGCATATGATTCGATGTTGTGAGCCAAGCTCAACAGGGATTGGCATATAAGTCAAATAATTCACCATACCTTGTAATGGTGCAGCTAGCATTGTTCTTAAATGTGCGCATGCCTCTTCTCTCAGTCCTGTCTCTTTGGATTTCTGATCCTGAGGGGCATGCTGGCAGAGAGAGGACGGAGAGCCAGTTGGAAGAAGAGTAGTCGGGCAGCTGCCAAGGCTGATTTCCTGCAGTTATTTTGAAAGTTTTAGTATGCACACAGTGGCAGCCCTCATTTGATAGCAATCTGTGCATTACAATTTCTCTGCAGTTGCTAATAATTAACATGCGTGAGCAAGGCCGCGCTGCAATGTGCAGAAGGGCACGACCTGTACAAGCTTAGCGATTTTATTTTCCGCGGCTTCAGCCTTTCCAGAGATCAGCTTGCAACAGCGCCTTGTTGAATGGAAGTGTGCTATGATAGTTATGCATCTGACAGTCATTTGTTTTTCAATTTCAGCTTGCTCAGGCATGGGTTGCTGCTTGGCTCCTCTACGTCAGGATGCCTTCCTCAGAAAGTTTCCTGACAGGTTAGAGCGTCGGGTCATATCCTTTGATATGCAGATGCTTGCCCGGATTTCAACCCATTGCCCTTGACGAATCGCTGCAGGTTCCCAGGTCCAAGACATTGCCGATTGCGCTGCGAATGCTATGGACTAGGAATGTATTTCTGCGCTTGCCTGGAAAGCATCCACACTCTCAAGTCATTCATGCGTTTAGAGGCGGCTTTTCCCATGCAGCAACCAGAGCAGCGAGCACCATGCTTTCAATTGCAGCTATGTACCCATGAGAGTTGTCACATCAATTAGTTTCAAAGAGGTGCTGATACTCAATGAATACATGCTGAGGTAAAGACAAGACCACAAGGACGCTACTTTCTCTTTTGCAGTGCAAGTGTATTACTACCCACTGCCCTTGTGAGCAATTCGGATTTGTAGCTGCTTCTTGCTACGTGCGTGATGTCAGGCCAGATTCCTTTATTTGCCCCAGTCATATTTGAATGTATGCCTGGTCATGGTGTAGTTGCTGAGCAGCCCCTGTCAGGTTGGCACAATTCTTCTTGCAGAAGGCCAAGACAAATGCAAAGATTAGCTTGACAGAGGCTGTGGTTTCCTTCTTCAAGGAAACCAAGGGCGTTGGGCAGCGGAAAATGTTTCTCCCACCCAAGACGGCGTTTTCAGGGCTTTGAGTCGCAGTGGCCGGTCCAAGGTCCAAGGTCCAGGGTCCAAGAAAGTAGCACCTGGCCATAACCCCATGTTTCATGTGCTTGAAGGCGTTGGCCCTGCTGGAATAGTCCTGAAGTCAAGGAGGCAACAGGTGATTTGCATTGTCGTTATTGGCTGCTGATTCATGTAACCATGATGCCATGGCAGCCTGGTCTAAGGTAAAGAAGATCAAGGCCAACACGGACATCAACGCGTTGACCTTGGGGAAGATGCTTTACTTTTGCGGGCAGTTTGTTGATGGACAGGCTTCTGGCATGGTCCTGCAAGAAGATGGCATGTGGAAAGTGGATCCGGAGCAGCTACTTGGGCAAACAGATGGACAGGGACCCAATCCACAGCATAAGGTTGCGTTTGCCTACCAAAGTCAAGTCAGTTAATTATTGCACATGCCATCTGCATGATTAATATACTAAACTTCCTTACTTCAAGAATAAGGACATTTGATAATGAAATGCCCCAATTGTTTCAGGTCCTCTTTTTATGTATCATTTGTTTTAATCCCTGAGTGACACTTCTGCATGCCTTAGACTTTTGATATGCTAACCTTTCTCTTGCAGCAGCAAGCTCTTGGGTTGTCTGGGCCTGGGCTTACTTGCTCAATTTTCAGCCATCAGGCTGTTGGCCCACCTCCTTGCCTTGTTTTGTAAAGTCCAGTGGAATCACTCGAAACGCATGCAAAACTTGTTTTTTTCAATGATGCAGTGGTAGGGCAGTGGGCCAGCCTGGCTTCGTAAATTGTTAGCACGCTTGCTACTACTGGGGAGTACAAGCATTTGTTCACCGACATGCTGTATCAGTCTAGATAGTGTTCTTTGGGTTTCCTTTTCTAATTTGGGCTGGCCATGAATATTGTCGTTTTGTCTTTGCTGTTGGAGGCCAAACCTTCTCCTATTCCATGTCTCCTTCCTTTTGTATGTTTGTCCCGGCAGTGCAGAGCTCCAGCTGAGGATCTCAAACCTGGATATGGCAGCCAAGCTCCTCATGCCCATCCACATACAGTAACATCTGCAGGCTTTGTGCAGGATTGCCAGCAAAAAGACCCAGTACAACGTCCATTGGAGCTTGGCCTGTTCGATTTCGCTTGTTGTGTGGGGCAGGTGACATGATGGATTGGACAAACCAGGGCTTCAAGTTTTTTTGTGTTTTTACTCATCGGGTTTTCAAAGGATTCACAGAATTTCAAGGCATTTTAAATGAGGTCATTTATGGTTCAAATGCCATTATGGTTTAAATGCGAGGTTTGGCACCTTTCTGTGAGAGCAACTGACCTTTCAAAGTCCAGAATTGCAAAAATGCAGAGCTCAAGGGTGGTTTGCAAGTATTCAAAGGTGTTTTGCAGGTAGCGGCTTTCCAGGATGTTTGAAATTTGCTATTGTGACAGCTGTTTCTTGTTGCTGCTTGATTGGGCCTTCTCAAGGTCCAAGGTCCACAGGAGGCACAACACACGCAGCCCCCTTGATGCCATGTGTAAATCGTCCTTGCCTGCAGCAAAGCCAAGACTTCGACTCCGATGCAAAACTTCGATAACTCAAAAAGCTGCTCCAAGGCCTGCTGGCAAGACCCGGCGTTCACCCACCATGCGCGCCTTGGCGATCAAGCAGTACCTGGTGCCAAAGGCAAGAAAAGCATTTGCCTTGTTCCTCATGGAGAACACACAGGTCAAAAAGGGTGCTTTGAAAAAGGAACACGTTGAAGACATGAAAAGAGTGGCCAAGCTATGGAAAAACTTCCCTGAAGCTGCAAAGGCTACTTACAATGAGAACAGCGCCCAGGAATTCCAAGCACAGAGGGATGCGCTGATGCGTCTAGGTCTTGATCCTAGGCCACAGGCAGGCAAAGCTACCTGCAAGGCTGCTGGTCAGCCTTTGCAGACCCTTGAGGAAGAAGTCAAGAATGTCAAGAAGTTTACTGTTGGGCCATACACAGTGGCAGACAAGGAGGGTATTCCTTTGTTGTGCAGCGGATCCTATGGCAAAGTGTTTTCAGCTTACACCAGCATGGGCCGGTCTTGCGCCATCAAAGTGTATCGAAGCCGGGATGCGAAGAGTGAGGCCGCCTACGAAGCCACCATCTACAAGAATTTAGACAATTTGCAGCCATCCCATCGCAACTCCTCAAATGTTGGCGTTTGACGCAGGTGGGCAGCCATGGCCTTGGCTGTCACTGGCCTGTGCAGGGGTGAGTCTAGCAAGCTGGTTGGGTGCCAATGGCGCGATGACCTCGGAACTGATTCAACCTCTGGTGCGGCAGCTGCAGGCGGCAATCCAGACTTTGCATTGCCAGGCACGACTCTTGCACCTGGACATCAAGCCTGCCAACATCCTTTGGTGCTCTGAGCTGAAGGAGCTCAAGCTGTGCGACTTTGGCATGTCAGAGCCTGTGAGAGCATCCATTGCCCAAGGTCCAAAGCCCACGGTCCAAGGTCCAGGGTCCACCATTCAACCTGCAAAAGCTAAACGCCAGCTCCAGCAGTTGGTTGATCCTTTACAGTCTTTGCCAGAAGCAACGGCCCAAGCTCATGCTCAAGCTCTGCCACGATTTTGCGAATATGTCACAGCTCAGTATCGACCACCAGAGCTTTGGCACGTGGGTGCTCATTCGCATGCCTTGGAAGCAGCTTTGACCAAGGCAGTTGATGTATGGAGTTTTGGCTGTGTTGTCTTTGAGATCAGTACGGGAAAAGTTCTCATGCGTGCAAGGAATGGAAGGCAGACGTCTTCCAGGCAGACCGTTGCTGATTGGTGCAAACATTGGCCAAAGATGAGCGCTTCGCCTTATCATCATCGCCAAGGACCAGAAGATACTAATAGTAGCAGGTATTTTCGTGCTCGCCTCGCTGCCTCTGGCATGTGGCATGCTGTGATCCTAGCTGCCTGCAGTCCGGAACCGAGGGCAAGAAGATGGATGACATCAGCTGAAGCTGCCTCAAAGCGTAGCAAGTGAGATGAGTTGAAAGTTTTCTTTCTGGGAACCAGCTTCCTGCACATGAAAGCTGGCAGGGGAGGGGAGTAACTATTATTGTCCTGCCATTGCCATCAGGTTCATGGTTTAAGGTCCATGGTCCATGCTCTTCATGATCACTCACGGCTACATTGTGGGTTGCCAACGGTGGCCAAGTGGCAGGACAGTAATAATCCTTAACTTAGTCAGGGCCTGCGGACATTGGGAGTTCATCCAAGCAGCTTTGTGCAAAAAGATTCTTGCGGCGCTGAATTTTGCATCATTCCAGAATCGTTCAGTTTTCTGACTTTCAACGCAACACGTAAAAATGCCACTAAATCAATTAGAATCGACCTCCTGCCTCTTGCATGGTTGGTGCTGCGGAGGCAGAAGCGGGTCTACAATTTGCAGCTGCTGACATAGCTGGCAAGAAAAAAAAGGGCCAAAGCGGTTCGTCCATGGTTCTTCGTCCATGGTCCATGGTCCAGCTCTTCTTTTTGCAGCCTTGTATATATAGGCAGAAGGCCCTGCCCTAATAGAAGCGGTGGACAAGCCAATGCGCGGCTGTGACAAACAAGCTCCTGCAGACACCAACGGACATGTTTTGCAGATAACCCAAAATTAATCAAAACGACAGCATATCCTTAAATTTTTTCGGGCCAGTCGAAACAAGAACCCAGTATATATATATATATATATCAGAGCATGTTTTTTGACTCGTCCTTCTGCCGTGATGCTCTGAAAAGGTTGCGGCCGTGATGCGAAGGCAGAAACCGATCTCTGGTTGAGACCGGAGGTCGAGTGCCTGGTCTCTTTATGCAAGGCCTGAAGTCGGAGTCAGCTTCCGATTGGCCAGGAGATATAATGGTATATAATAGGGTACACACACATATGGGTATGGATCAATACCTATAGATACCATTTTTAGGGGGATGAACATCCATTTACCAGCTATTTTGATGTTCACCAGGGGTACAAGGTTTTGACACACTGCCATATGACCTTCAACATCTCATTTTACATTTATTTGAAGTTCAAGGATGTTCCTGTAATTTGCAAGGAATCATATACCTCCTAACCCTCTATGTGACATGTGGAATGATAAAAAAAGGTGCAGAAAAAGTATAGAATGTATTGGAAATACCAAGCAATTGGGGTCCTACAAACTTTTAGTTTGCATTTTGGATTTTCTACAATTCGGCAGCTATTTGCAGACCTTCAGACTATAATTTTACATTTTTTTCATTTTCTTGCATAGTTTTTTTCAAAACTGCAATCGGTCATTTTGAACGCCCCCCCCTGTTTTTTTTAAGAAAATAAATGAATTCCCGTACAGAATGAGGAGACCTACTAAAATGAAAGCTTGCAAATAGAACGCAGTTAGAAAGATAAATGCCTGCTGACATTTACCAGGCCCCCCTCCCCCAAAAATGTCTAAATTGTGTCTTGCAATTTGGGTACGCCCCCCCCTTAAAAGGGTAGTGATATCATATACTATCATATAACGCTATGATTTTTGGGTGTGTCTGTGAATGGGGTATATTCACCCTTTACGGGCATTTAAATGCTGAACATGATGATCGACGATCACATAGTCACATAGTATGGGGTAGCATATTTTGAGACAAACCCAGGTTGTCAGCCGAATACAAAACTATCTCCAATTTTAAACCGATTTTTTAAACAGAACTGGGTGGTATAAACCTTTCCCAAACCACATTATTTACTGGTTCATTTCTCACCAAATCTCACAAATAAGAACTAGATTCACTAGATGTTCGAACATTTAAAGAGAAAATCACAATGAGCGAGTGTTCTTTCTGCACTGTAGCCGCTGTAGCCCATGTCTTGGGCAATCTGATCGTCCAGGCCGGAAGTCTGAAGCCAACCTTCGTGACTCTGGACCTCAGGCGGCCCCATTTGTTGTCAATGGGACAGGTTCACATTGACTGCGTGGCACTGCTGAAATTTGAATAATATTAGTATTTATGTGGATATGGTAATATTACTACTACTAATAATATGATATTAGCACAAATAATCTCTGGCCACGTTCATATTGATTCTGATCATGATCCATTGCTTGGAGCTCCATTCAAGGTGGTAACGTTGAACCGTTGAGCCAGACCTGTTCCTTGAAGTCCAAGGATGTGCGCGCAATAAGGTACCACCCTCCCTAAGCCCGTGGATTCTCATCATAAATCCAATATTTTTCCATTCAAACATCACAAAAACAAACCAGACACCCAACGTTGGGCTAGCCGCACCATCACAGGCCGCGGTCGCTGCAGCAGCTGGTGATGCTGCTGAAGGACTGTGGCTATCAATATTTCAAGGTCTCGCGCCTTTTCGGTACTGCGGTTGGACCGCTGGGTGATAAGGCCGGGTGGATGGGTGGATGACACCGCGCGCAGGAAGACATCAATGGGAAGCGCGGGTGAAAATGAGGACTGGATTTGTGAGTTGAAGGTTTTTGATTCATACAGTATCATACAGTATTCTTAAATGTTCTTAAATGTTTGTCATGATTGACTCCATGCTGATGCCACCCCCTAGGCAAGTGATTGGCGCTTGGGTTTGGCCTGGCGAAATGCCAGCAGCGTGCTGGGAGATTCCGTGGCTGTGCCGGGCTGCCTAGACATGGAGGAAGTCACACTATTTGTACCCGTGTCATTCCCGTGTCCATAGTGTTCTGAAACAAAGTTTGGGAGTCCACAAGCTTGGTTCTTCCATGAAAACTGAGTAACTGGTTGGTGATTTCGGTTTCACTCAAGAAATGGGATGGTGAACCCAACTGCTGAGGCAGCGTGCCTCTGCCCTTATGCTTCACGCCGCCCGGGGGTCGCGGAAAAACTTGGCCTTGTGTCTGTCAGGACAGCCAAGAGGCAGAAATTCTGTGGCCGATCTTCAGTGGGTTTCATGGCCGAAAGAGGAACGCAGAGCATTTCTCCAGGAAAATTGAATCAGGTACGTCAAGATTCTCATGAGTTTCTCTTAATCAAGTATCATTATCAAGGATGCAAAGTCTATCAAGATTATCTTTTAATCAAGTATCATTATCATTATCAAGTACAGCAGTTCTTTTTTTGAAACTTCCATTTCTCATCCATTTCTCAGCTTCCATTAGGTCCAGCGCTTCGGGAGCTTCGACATCTTCGCCGTGGTACCTTTGGAGGACCTGTGCCAAGATGGCCCAACACTCATTCAGCAAATATATGTATGTGTAATACATATATATATAATAGGCAAAAAGATGGAAGGTTAAATTAAAATCCTACTCAAAAAGTCATACTGTTAGTTTTTTTTTCCATAGAGTAACACATGTCTAGATTTGATCCAAAGCCATCAACCGATGACGCTGTAGGACTGTCAACGAGCACGGCAGCTCCTGCAGCAACTGGACGCCGAGGTGTCAGTATTCAAAAGCCTGGTTGGTTGATGATTGGTTCCGGGATTATGCTAACCTTTATATACAGGAGATTACAATAAGAACATTAGGAAAATCGCCCGGCATTTATTTTCGTGAATTTCATCTCGAGTCGATGTCGGCAAAATTCTAACGAGATTTGGACGGGTAGTATCAGAGCCACCCTGTCATGAGCATTGCTTACCCGGAACCTCTGGCAACTGCAGTGCGCAAATATTGGATTGTGAAGGATCTGCGAAACATTGTGAAACTGAATATTGGTAAAAACTCAAAGAAACAGGGGTACGGGGTATGGACTCGACTGTATTCTCACAGTGGTTCTGCATACCTGCGGTCAAATTTTCGTTTCAAGGGGGTACTGTAAAATGAAAAGAGCAGCAAAGTGTTTTGTGGAGTAACATCATCAAATCCACAGCTGGCCTAGGTGCTTTGCGTCGATAGCTTGTTCATGAATCCCGAAGAGCTTCGTTGGATCTTCACCGGTCCCAAAGCAGACCCAGACATTTGCCCTGGCCATCATTGCGTGCCTCGGCAGTGCAACTTGAGGAAGGTGTGGCTGCTTCGTTCGAAAATTTGGTCATGGCACAAACTCTGGACCACCGTAAACTCATGGTAAATTCCTGGCAGCCTTTAACCCGATGGATTTTTCGATGGATTTTTCAGCTCAGTCAGCTCAGTCAGCTCCTATCGGACGAAGCGGTTCCCCCCAGAGGTTTATGTTTGGCGTGACGTGGAGTCTTGTCGACGCCTCGTGCACAGACACATGGCCAGGCGAGGAAACCGCGGGACGGCCGCTGGGAACCGATCGAAAATCCTTGGATTTATGGAGGTTTGAATGGGAAGAATCCATCGAAATTCTCCATAAATTGATCACCCAATTAATGGGAGAATCATCTATAAATGATTCAATGACATTTGCATTGATGCTGAGATGATTCGATGTGTTGATCGCCGACAGCTGATGGGCTGCAGGTGATGTCAAGAAAGGTTTGACTTGGATTCGCCAGGGCAAAGCGTGGTAAACTAGGTGGGGGTTTCAAACATCTTTCATCATGTTTCATTTTCAGCCATATTTGAGATGATCATCCCTACTGACTACAGTCATATTGACTCATATTGGAACAGGTGGAAATCGCCAGTAAACTGTGGTGAAACGGTATGTCATGAGTTTTGAATGTCATTTGAGGGATGGCAAAGATGGAAAGGAACCATGAAGCTTGCTAATAAAGCAAATCACACGGACATCATTACACAGGGTCACAGGGTGAACTGCCGCCATGCCAGCTGGCTGCGGTTGTTCCTGGAGGTGGGAGCTGAGATGAGGGTTAACATACAAAACCCCGTTGGGTCGTGTTTTTCAACAAAACCATCGAAGTATTGGGTACCCAAGCTTGATCCATACCCATACCAAGATGATTTATTTTTCCGCTGTGCCAGGCATGAGGCGGCTGAAGATCTGTATGGTTTCCGACTTCTTTCACCCAGGCCATGAAACCCGGCCATCTGCACCATCCCCAGCAATAAAAACTGGGAGATGTTGGGAGTACACACCAACCACTGATGTGTCACTGCTGGAGAGCCATGTTTATTTCTAGCCGTTTCGCTCATCAGCATGAGAACCAGATCGATGCCCAGATGAAAGCTCACATGGGAGTATTCTACACCATTCCCTCCGATTGGGAGCTTTGGACGAGTGTCACTGGTTGCGGCATGGCATGTTTGATGTCAAAACAACATACTGTAGTTATCTGTAGTTGTAGATAGTTTTATGTAGTTGTGCAGTAGGACATATTTCAAAGGCGCCAGGCCGGCAGGCTCAATCCATCAGTTCCCATGGCTTTACTCAGCTTCCTGCAAGGCCTCGGGGGGGTAGAGATGCACATCTACCAGCTCTCCGAGTGCTTAATTCAGCGAGGTCACAAGGTGCACTTTTTTGGAGCCAAACATCGCAGAATTGGATGGGAAATCTACAGGAAGCCATGATGTATTTGATGGTACCCTCTGGATATTTAACATAGCCATGGAACATGGCCGATCTATAGATGGTTTACCTATTAAAAATGGTGATTTTCCATGGCTATGTTAAATAACCAGATGGTAAATGGAAAAACCGATGGTTTCCCATCGTTCTTCCCAGCAAAATTCATTCATTGCGTGGAGAATCAGCTGTCAGTTGTGATGAATGTCCAGACAGATTGCGCTAGCCGCAGGTGATTGTGCTCACCCACATGCGGGGCAATCGACAAGGTGTTCGCTATATGCGTAATGGCCTGAATCTCCGCGCCATTTAGACATTTACTCGGAATTCTTTTCTGTGGAAATCTGTTTGTGACTGCAACACATGATGGGAGTGTCCTTCCAAGACTGGCCAGAAGTCATTTCCAAGGAGAAATGGAATCTGTTCGGAAAGTTTGCTTCCTGTTTATGTAGCTGCTAATGAATGTATATATTGACTTAATGTAGTGGGGCTACCACGACTCGTACAATTTGTTCCATAGGATTCGGTCTGGTTTGTACCTTGCTGAGGAAGGTGTACTACCTGCCCTTTCTTCCATTTCATGACAATTGTGAGTTCCTCAGAGCTGTTCGCTTGTTGCATGGCGTCATGGATCAGAAACGGCAAGGATATTCATGAGGCATCTACTGTTCTACACCAGAGCAGTAAAAGTGCAGACGAGTCTTACATGGAACTGACGAGTCTAAATGAATGTCATCTGAAAAGTCTCGTTTCAACTGCTTCGTTTAGACTCTTCGGATGCACAAATCATCTGACATTGGGTACCATCTGTACCATCCTAACCATCTAAGCGAAGCACCTGGCGCCATTTTGTTCAGGGGCTTGCGGAGCTCAGGTACATTTCCAACATTTCTCTCGTTCTTTCCTCTCATCAGGAAAGTGCTTATCAGAGAGGACGTTTCTTGGATGGACATATTTATATATTGTATAGGTAATGGCAAGCTACTGTAGCTCTTACTTGACTTGGCTAACAACTGGTGTTTTGTGTTGCCGCAACGTCATGATTTACGAGATTTGTGATGGGTGTTTGCGCCCGAGCAACGTCGCAAGGTTGACATCGTCCATGGACATCAAGCAACTTCGAACCTAGCGCATGAGCCGCCTGTCTTGCACTTCCGCAGAGATGTTAGAATAGTAATGTCAACCCCAGATTAATCAACCCAGGTTGATTTATCAGGAAATACCCCCGCCAAATAGTGACATCATCACCAAAATGGTGCCCCTCAATCATCAACAGAATCAACAGTCGCTTTCCCAGGTGCATCCTCCACGCACGCACCATGGGCTATCACACGGTCTACACAGACCATTCTCTCTTTGGCTTTGCTGATGCAGCTTGCATTCACGCATTTCCCTCAGTTGCTGGAGCGTGGCCGTGCAGACTTGGACCTGTTGTAAAGATGACCCGGAAACCTCTAAAGGATAGGGCAACAAGGTGTATAGACATCGGGATGTACTTCCTCAATCTTCATCACCCAATTCTACTCTAGCACAATTTACAGGACAAATAAGGAGAGCCAAAAAAGATGAGCAAACCTTCGCATGACCGTGATATACCGTGATGATTTCTCCTCCCCCAGCACCAAGGTCAACAAGCTTTTGAAGTTCTTTTTGACCAACGTTGAGCCGCCTGGCAGATATTTGGTGGCTTTCGTATCTTTCGTTGGAGTTTGTACAATGTCAGAGCAGCCAGCAGCACTACAGTCCGTAGTTGAGTGCTTTGTGTCCTGTTCCCAGTGCAGTTTCTCCGTGCAGGCACTGCATCTGCGTATCTCACACGAATCGAGACTTGGCAACAGTGACACCAAGTCAGAAGGGGGTGCATTGTACTAAATGCACTTGTCTGAAAATGGGGGATACCGCAAGTCATGGCAACTTTATTATTGGGGAAATTATGATAAACCAATGGGATGATAATCGCAGCCACACTGTGAGACTGCATGGGTCAAGTGCACATCTTGTGTAAGGCGTTTATGTCCATATCTATCCATATCTAATGTAAGGTGCAGATAGGTGCAGTCCATATCCAAACTGGAGCGCGGTATTTGTACTTCAGGGTGAATCACAACCAAACACACTTGATCGGGTGGCTAGTTTTGGCGTTCTTTGCATTTATATAGAGTTGTTTGGTGCTTGTTCGTCTGTGCTTGCAGTCCTGATTTTCTTGCAGCTGTGTAGTCAGTGTAGCCAATGCCCAGATACGCCAGTGAACCCAGCAGTTGCTGGTTGTGAATTTCGTCCCTGCATCACCCAACGAGATCTTCAGTGGATCATAAGTATTGACCCCTCCACAATAGATACACGATATCGTATGAGAATATATTGTATAATAGTATGTATATATGTATATATATATATATACAGTAATTATATGTAAATGCAATGATAAATAAATATATATATATATGTCTATATAGCAAGCCACCAAAAGATAGATACGTTAAATCCTACTCGAATAATCATCATCATACTAGTAAAGTACTGTTCTAATTTGTTGGTTTCTATAAGATTCTACATGTTTGTCTCAGTAGGATTGCCCAACAGCTACCAGCATCTTCTAAGGAGAAAACCTCGTCCTTCGTGCGGCTCTAAATCCTAGTGACGTTTCGGTGATTCCCAATGCGGTGGATACCAGGTGCCGAATCAGTGTTGAAGATGGGAATCATCAAACGATGGATTTTTACCAGCAACAACAACACATATGTGTATAATATAATATAATATAATATAGTATAATATAATATAGTAATAATAAGAATAATAATAATAAAATAATAATAATAATAATAATAAATATATATATATATACATACACATACACAATATATTAATATATATATATTATATATATTATATATATTATATTATATTATATTATATTATATTATATTCTACATATATATATATATATTTATATATAACCATCAACATGCTGATTTAAGCAACAAAGAACAGATCCAACCTAACCACCCGAAGAGGGAATTTCACCATCCGCGGTCTAAGCGAAACTTGGGGATTTCACTGGGGATGGGAGGGATGTGTCATGCCGTGGGATTTTCGGTTGATGGGGGAGACAGTGGCTGTACTCTCAGGATCTCGGGATCAAAGGCTGACAACAAAGTCCAATAGTCTTAGATGTCTTAGATGGAAGCCTTCCAATGGCAGTGATTCGGTTTTCGGCAGAGGTCAGAGTTGATATCAGCCACATCTCTCCAATCACAGTTTTCGGACATCTGACATCTGGTGTCAAACTTGGGGTAGGATCCTGGACCCATAATTTTCCAGTTGTTTGCCGCTTAAGCTCCAATCTTGTCTTGCTTCAGTCCCAATTCTTTGCTGATCAAATTTCCATCATCTGAAATATATCAAGGCCAATTTCCAGTTGTTAAGCCCCGTGTTTGCTGGTGAATGGCCTCATTTTTGGTGATGACCCCGCCATTTTGCCTCAGTTTTTCCATGTTTTTCCTCTTGGGGAACTGATGGCACCGTTTTCTAGGCGTTTCCAGCCAGATGCATCGCAGCGCTCGGCGGAGCCCTGGATCACAGTGGTGGTGGTCAGTCGCTTGACCTACCGAAAGGCGGGGGTACCACGTTGCTGTTGGGTGGGGTTTTGGACTGACTAGCCAAATATGATCACATAATATCAAAGATCAATGGCGGCTTCAGGTGACAGTTATGACTCTCTCAAGGTGCATCTAGTGGCCTTTTAAAATTTTACCTACATTGATTCAGCATCAGGAAAGTGTTGAAGCAAAACCATTCTGCAAATGGAACGTCTTGGAACGGCCTGACTATACTCTATCCATCACCGCTGGATGTGGCCAGGGTGTGGACTTGTTGGTGGGCGCGGTGCCCGTGATTTGCCGCAGGCGTTGATTGAAATGGTGTTGATTTGCTCGTTGATATTTTTTGTTCCTCATTGGTGAATCCATCATTTGGGACTGCGGATATTTTTTTGCTTTTGTCCGGTCCCGTAGCAAACCTGATTAAGCCGACTGTAGTGTGCAATCTAGAGAAATCACCAGTCTGACGTGTTTCATAGATGTCTTCTGGGCTTGACTTGGCAGGCATCCGCATGTGCGCTGGTTCCTTGCCCGCAGTTGGGCAGCAGTTTTAACATATTGCGCTGCATTAGAGGCAAATTTAGAAGAGAATATGGTGCCTTTGTTCTTGAGATGCAAACAATCCATTGATGACCCCTTCGATGAATCCGGCCAGCCCAAACAAAAATCTTGGAAGGCTAATCGGTGGCAGTGGGCCAAAGCAGCTCCTGCTGGACGAAATGATTGAACGGGTGTGCCCCTCAGCCTGGGTGCTGCCTATTTTGAGTCGCTGCTTAGGCTTTGATGTGAGGTGACGGCTCGAAATGTAAGGCCCCGATCCATACCCTGGACCCACACGCTATACATACCGCCGATCCATACCCATGATCCATACATCTCTAAGGGATATGATCCTTTTTTTTTTCCTCCAACACCTTCGCGCCACATGAGTGACGACAGGGTTCAAAGACAACAACTGCTTAGGGTGTTTGGACTATGGTACACCCGCAGCAGCAAGAAGGTTAAAATCGGGAAACCGATTTGGCAGCAGCTTTGCGTACACCAAATGCTTTCCCTTCAAAATGCAAGCACGCCGAGAGCAGGATGGCAAGCACAGCACTGGGATTGGCAAACCTAAGCGCACAGTGCGTTGAATTGATTTTGCCAAAGCCAAGGCAAGATAAATAGTACGGCTTGACAGGAAGCAAGTTACAAACGTTCTTACTGAGAATAGAAGTATCAAATCTTGCCAACATCTGTGCGTGCCACCCGGCAGATTTTTGGGGAGAGATGACCCTAGGATACCGTAGGGAAATAAATCCATGAGCAGCGAACTAGGTCTCCATTAGGAACAGGGCACCAGATAGGCAAATTAAGGTAGCAACAAATTTTGAATAGTCTCATTTAACAGGAATGGCACGGATGTTCGTCCCTAATTAGTGGCCCCCAAACAGCCGGTTGCTCGGCGATGCGCATAAACTTGAAATAGTGACTTCTCAGCCAACCCAAGACATCAGGTGGAATTGGTTGAAGGAGACGTACACATTCAATGGCCCTGTTTTCATCACCAGCTAGCTCAGCCATCTTGCAAACAGCACACGGCTGTTTCCTAACCATTCTACGGGTAGGGGCGCAGCTACAAATTTTGGAGGTCAAAATTTTCAGTGGTTTGCACCTATCTTCCCTCCAGTAAGATAATTGTGGGAGTTGCGCGTGAAAAGGACATCTCTAAGGAATATGATTTGATCCATGCCCTTGATCCATATCCACAAATGACAATAAGATACAATATGTACTTATATCAGGCCACTTTAGCTTACCATTTCAATAGATTCAATAGGTCCGGATCACCGCAGAAGGATCTTTTCAGCAATACCCATAACATGAGATGTATTATGTGCACTATATGTGTAATGTCCGTGTCTAGTGCGTGTCTAGTGTGCAATTTGTGGATTTTCTTCTTGTGGCGCATTCCGAGGAGAATCTACATGTACCGGCCTCATTTTGGACAGAGTGTTGACCACAGACAAATCATGCCATTCCCAGCTGCAGAGGATCGGGTGGAGCTGCTGGGGGCTGTCCCTCATGAAGATGTGCGCAAGGCTGCCGGGCAATGCTGGAACGGACTTGTGACATCTTATGACTGGGTAGAACCATTGGATTTTAACCCCCATATTTACTGTAAGTTAGGATATGGGGCCCCTATAAACTATAAACTATATGGATCTATATGGGTCTATATGGTCATTATATGGTTATATAGGACCACTTATGACTGGAACTGCACCCCCATGCATACATCATTTGTCGGGATCTTGAAACAGTGGCATCACGTTGTATCCATTTTCGCGACATTCTATTGCTGTGACAGGTGCTGGTCAGAGGCCACATCTTCCTGAACACCTCCTTGACGGAAGCTTTCTGTATTGCCATTGTAACTCTTCTGATCACTGTACTGGGTGTAACTCTTCTGATCACTGTACTGGGTTGGTTGAGATTGTCACTATGAAAAAAACGGCGCCAAGCTATGACTTGTTCTGTACCCCGAAGTCAGTTTTCACCTGGCTCAGGTTGACAGAGATAATTACGTGGAGCAGGGGCATCGGGATTTTGATCCACAGCCACAACGTGCCACAAGATGGTTCTTTACCGTTCTTTGTATTTAGTGGCGCTTGGTGACTGGGTTTCCCTGCTTGCACAATATATATATATATATATGCATACTTACATATATATATATATGTATACACATACTTATATATATATTTATACATACATACATACATACATACATATATATATATATATTGTGAATCTGCACATAATCACCAGCTACACTTTGACACTTGGCATCCGAATCACTAATCCCCCCTTAATTTCCAGCAGGTCCCTGGTGAACTCTTGCTTGCATCCGAAGGCATCGTGGTTCAGGGTAACCAGGTGTTGTGGAGGGTGGGTCAACGACCCTTGAGAGCCATCGGCTGGCATCTTTGGCTGAGGCAGCCTCTTTTGGTAGTGTGGCATACTACCTTGGAGCTTGGTGTCCAAAAGATCTGCGTGGCCGCAGGGTGGTGGAGCCAAGATCAAGCCCATGGGAACTCCTATAGATTTACTTGAGGTATTCCGCAGTTCCAACAGTTCACTCACTGACCAGGTAAATAAGCAAGGGGGAAAAGCCATGCGTTTTGGGTATTGCCAAGGTGATTTGCAGACCACTGAGGGACGCAGAAATCTGTTTGCGCAGGTGGCTAGACATCGTCCGAAACATGTCTGGCTGAGTCCCCGCTGTGGACCATGGTCATATTGGTCTAGGTTCAACAGTCAGAGGTCATTAGAATCTTGGGATAAAATTCAAAGTGATACAGGTTGCATTGTGTCTAGTCCTCTGCGGGCACCAACATCGCTGTCAGATGCATGTGCACTGGGAGCAACCAAAAGGGTCCTTGATGATGAAACTTCCACATGTCCAAGAGGTAAACAGGTACACACCAGTTGCAAAACCCGACATGCGTGTTGCAGGGGAAATGCGGGATCCAGTGTCCATGAAAGTCATGCGTAAAGGACTTGTGATAGCAACGACATCCATGGCCATGCATGCATGTTTAGACCCACTCACATGCATTCGAGATCATGAACATCAAATGATTGAAGGAAGTACCGAGTCACAGGGCCTGACCATTGCCAGATCTGCGTTCTCAGAGATTTATCCCCGCAAGTTTGCACGACTAGTGGCCAAGCAAATTCTCAAAAGGTGTTTTCCACATGACAAGCCCATTGGCTCGATTGCTGACCCGGCGCTGCTGATGTTGGACCAATTGGCAGAAAAAGCAGAAGCCCTAGCCAGTGCCGAACGTGCGGCCAAGCTCATGAAACTTTCTCCTACAAAGGGAAGAATAGAAAGACCCCTGCTGCAGCCAGAGCATCCGGTGAGGCCTCATCCTCTAAAAGACTCAAGACTGAATCCCAGAATCACCCAAATAATGACCATAACTCTTCCAATCAATCCCAAATCACAGTCAACTTCAGAATAAAACCCGCATATTCACCAGTAACCTCCAAGAATCCTCTTGTCAGTCAAGTAGTGTCCGAGGTTGAAGCCATCCTGCTCAGGGTAGGGAAAAAGATCATCAAGCAGGAGAAGATCATCAAGCAGATGCAACAGGTGTTTCCAGACAAGGAAGTAAAGAGAAATAAAGGGGATAATAGCTTGTAAGGGTACGGATCGACGGTATGGTCCCTTCCAGGATATCCATCCCACTGAAGCTCCTTATCGAAAAGCCATCATGAAGATTAGGAACACTGTCGCAGGGGTGCGGACATGAACTGACTCAGGCGATCCCTGACATGCACTGTCCAACCTGTGCATCATGTCAGAGACCAAAAATTGCACGTCCCAGCACATTGAAGTACGCACCAGACTTCAATGACAACATATTTGTAGATGGTGTAGCTTGGACCAACAGCAAGGGCCGAGACTTTCATGTCTATCATGTATTGGATCAAGCCACCAACTATCATGTTGCAGTGCCGGCACCCAGCAGAGCAGCAGATCAGGTGATTGAGCGCCTGCCCGAAGCGTGCTTCCACTGGGCAGGTCCTCCAAACTTGATAGTAACTGATGCAGCCACTGAATTTGAAAGTGAAGCCTTTGAAGCTTTCCTTCAAAGATATGACGTGAAAAGTAACACAATCGCCCCACATGCACACTGGCAGAATGGCAGGAGTGAGAGACATGGTCAGATACTACAACACATGCTCACCAAACTCGACAAGGAATTTCCCATATAAACTTTCACAGATTTACAGCAGTCACTTATCCAATGCACACGTGCCAAAAACACATTCAGCATCCGCAGAGGATATGCCCCAGAAACTTTGGTTTTTGGTAAGAGCTCAAGGTTGTTCCCTTGCAAGCAGTGGCTCCGAAACTGCTCTCGAAAGTGCTGATCGAGAGGTGCCCATGGAATAGCCTTCCGACGGAATTTAGCAATACGGGAAAGAGCCCGAGTAGCATTCCATGAAGCAGACAACGACATGGCACTTCGACGTGCATGCCTGTGTAGATCCCGACCTGATCGCCAAGCTTATAATACTCTCCGGGGGAATGGGTCATGATGTGGCAGCCCCAAAGTGTAGGTCAAGGGTACTGGTTTGGTCCTCTCAAGGTAGTCAACCAGGAAGGCACTCAATCAGTATGGGGAACCATGCAAGGTAAACTACATCGACGTGCCCGTATGTTCCGAAGAAGCTCGCCAATACAAGAAGAAGAAATGACATCCATCACTACTCCAACAACCAGCGCTCCAGAAATTATCATTATTCCAAATCCACAACCCAACAGTCATGAGAACAGTGAAGAAGAATATGAGACCTCAAATCCCGAAAATAGCAGCCAATCTCAAGATCAGCCAGATGGGGAACCCGACAATATAACCCCCGAAGAATCCCAAAATAACCCACCAGAGAATAACAGTCACGCCGAAATCCCCATTCCTGACGATGGTTCTGAAGATGGCCTGATAACCACTCATCTACTGTGTGTAGAAGATGAGATCATGTCCGTTGACCCAACACAAACTCCGTGTGCTTGGCGCTTTGAATTGGATTTGCCTTCCCACCGTAGCCAGAGCATGAGTACGGCAGACGAAGTTCTACTGGCAACATCCGAGAAGAAACAAAGAACAGAAGTCAAATTGTCCATGCTTTCACCAGAGGAAGTCGAAGCGTTTCAGAAGGCCAAGGACGCAGAGATTCAGAATTGGTTGAGTACAGGAACCGTATCCAAAATCCTGAAAAACAAACTTGCACCTGAACAGATACTCTGTTGTAGATGGATTCTCACATGGAAACCACTCGAAAAGATTAACAGAATATCCCAGTCAATCCAAACTTCACCACAACAAACCCAAGGCACGTTTGGTTGTGCTTGGCTACTTGGATCCCAATCTGACAGGAGTTCCCAGAGACAGTCCAACACTGGGAAGACAATCCAAGATGCTGCTGTTGCAACTGGTGTCAGCCTGCGGATGGAGCCTTGTTTCATTTCATATCCGCGAAGTGTTCCTCCAAGGAAAGCCACAACAAGGCAGAACGATCGGTTTGGAGCCAGTAAAAGGATTTGCATCAGCCATGAAGCTAAATCTGCATACGGTTTAATGGACGCACCATACTTGTGGTGTCAAACTTTGCAACAAGAGCTGGTTCAGTTGAACTTTATTCCTTCTCCTTTTGGTCCCTGCTTACTTGTACTGAGAAACCCCAAGACTCAAAAGCTAGCTGGTATCCTTGGAATTTACGTCGACGATGGAATCTAAGGGGGGGATGCTTTCTTTCATGAACAGATTGCCAAACTTGAACAGAAATACCCATTTGGAACCAAAAAGTCCAGATCCTGCGCATTCACCGGAATTGAACTTCATCAACGTCCCGATAACAGTATCGAAATGTCCCAATCCAAGTATGTAAAGAATATATCCCCAATCACCTTGACTCCCGAACGTAGAAGCCAAGAAGACCAGCCGGTCACAGAGAAAGAAAGGCATTTGCTGCGCCACTGCAATATGCGGCGGTGCATACCAGACTTGACCTATGTAGTGCACTGAGCTATCTGCAGTCCGAGATCAACAGTGCCATGGTCGCCACTCTATTGACCGCGAACAAAGCCTTGCATTCCGCCAAGAAACATAGCAATGTGAGTATCAAAATGCAACCAATTGCTCCTCAGGATCTCAGGTTCATAGCCTTTTCCGACGCATCATTCGCATCAAAAACAAGACCAGAATCCCATGCTGGCATGATCGTTCATGCAACCCACAAGGACATTACCAACAATCAATCATGTCCAATTAGTCCTCTATCATGGGGTGCCAAGGAAATTCAAAGAATTGTCACTAGCACAGTTTCTGCAGAAACCTCGACTTTATCAACCACATCAGACCAACTTACTTGGATGAGATTGTACTGTGCTTGGATTCTAGATCCCAACACTCCATGGCAAAGACCCGAAAATGTAGCTAACCTTCCCAAAGCTATCACCGTTCCAACATACCGTGCACATGCAACTGACCTGGCAATCACCGACTGTAAATCCCTATTTGACCTACGACACGGACAGCAATCCCCAACTGTCAAGAATATCGCGCGCAGCTGCTTGCCCGTTCCATCAAAGATGTTCTTGCGGAAGGCATTCGCCTTCATTGGGTCGGACGCTCTCACAAAAGTAGTGGAATCCAATTTCCTCAGAGAGACTCTTAGGCAAAGCCGATATGGTTTGCATGATGCAGAAGAAGTCTTGAAAAGCAGAGCATCCGCCCGAACACGACTCAAGTGGTTGAAAACCGCTGCTGGTGATATGTGCAATAGAGATCAAAAGAATTCTTAAGTTTTGGGAATGTGAATCTGCACAAAATCTCCAGCTACACCTTGACACTTGGTATCCGAGTCACCAACCACCCCTTGATTTCCAGCAGGTCCCTGGTGAACTCTTGCTTGCATCCTAAGGCGTCGTGGTTCAGGGTAACCAGGTGTTGTGGAGGGTGGGCCAACGACCCTTGAGAGCCATAGGCTGGCATCTTTGGCTGAGGCAGCCTCTTTTGGTAGTGTGGCGTACTACCTTGGAGCTTGGTGTCCAAAAGATCTGCGTGGCCGCAGGGTGGTGGAGAACTTGGTTGAAAGGCAGTTGAAGGTGAATCTCAGGTGGCCCGCTATCCAAGTCACAATATATATATATATATGTACATACGTATACTATGTATACAACTATGTATATATATATATTATAATACACGTTATCAATCATTATCATATGCATACTATTTTTACAACTATGTATATACACACATATATACAGCTATGATCAGCTATGTATATATATATATATATAGTACACATTATCAATCATTATCATATCAATACAAGTGTACAACTATGTATGTACAAATAATACACATTATCAATCATTATCATATGTATTTATGCATTGCCAGCGCCAAGGTGGAAGCTGCTGCCTGCGGCCTCATGGTGGTGTCCACCAACGTCGGGGGTGTACCAGAGGTGTTACCGCTTGGGACTCGGAGGGGTCGGTTTCCTGATGGAAAACTTGCAGGCCATGGGTTTTCCATGGGTGTTTGCCACCAAAGATGATTTGAAGGGGTGAAAACTGCAGATTTTCAGTTCTTGGAGTTAGAAGTGTCCCAGAATTCTTTGATGGGAGGAATGACCGGAACCCCCTTCATTTGGGAGGGAAAAGGCATGGTTTTCCTGTAGATTTGATTTTCCCTAAAATCAATTCAGAGAAACGAACGATTTTTTTGCGGCTTCAACAGAGTAGCAGGGTTCTGATCCCATTCGCTTTTGCAGCAAAATACCCCCGCATCTTCTTTCAAGACGAGTTTTGAACTTCAAATATTTAGAACATGTCTGAACCACTGGGTAGAAACGCATCTTTAAAACATTTCAAAACCATCTGTATTGGCTTGATGGTTCTCGGCGGGATGTTACCCAGGATGTTCTTTATTTATTTTTCTTTATTCGTTGAACAGTTCCAGCCGTGATTCGAAGATGACTCCGCTAAGGCCTCACATGACCCGGCTGGCAGCTCCTCGGGTGGATGCAGTGGTTGAGGCTTTAGAGGACGCATTGCTGTGCTTGCCTCCGGCGGAGGTGGGGTGGGTTGCAAGCCACAGCCCAATGCCATAAGTATCGGGGAAAGCACCAAAAACATCCAAAAACTGATTTTGCATAGAATCATTGGAGTATCAATAACGTGGATGTTTCTGACACATCTCACTTCCAAAATCGGGCTGCTCCAGCTGACTCGTTTTTCGAGGCTGCAGAAAGGTTCCATGCGGAGGTCAAGGAGATGTACTCCTGGCAGGACGGCCAACCCAGAATCCAATTTCCCTACTGGAATTGCTGGATTTTTTTGGGACCGATGTCCCTCTTGTGACCATTTTTGTGCACAAAGAATCTACTGTGGGTAAAGCAACAGTAAACCATCCCCCAAATCACCATAAATAGGTGGTATGTTTGCCATTCCCAAGTGGGTGGTTTATGACATTGTCCACATTACTGTAAACAGGCTGACTTGCTGGACAAGTTAAAACCTGCTACGACTTGGATTGTTCTGCGTGAGGATGTCGCTCACCGCACGGAAGCTGTTTACAGGGAGGAGGCTGGGAATGCTGAGAAACATGGAGGGGTTATTCACCTATATACAATGTATATATATATACTATATATATACACGTATATACAAATATGTAAATATGACACACATATATATAATATAATATATATAAATAATATAGTATATATATAATAGGATATATATATATAATAAGATATATATATATAATATAATATAATATAATATAATATAATATAATATAATATAAAGTATAATATAAAGTATAAAATAAAGTATAATATAATATAATATACTATAATATAATATAATATAAAATGATAAAGTCATACATTATACAATATAAAATATTATATATCAAGGATTTTTTTTCTTGAATAATATTTGATATATTTTATATTATATATTTTGCATTATACATGATATTTTATATTTTATATAATATATATTATTGTTTATTATTATGAATTATATATTATATAGATATTATATATTATATAACTTATATACTTTATATTATTTATTATATGTATTGTGTATTACATATTATATTTGATTTACTATATATTGAATATATTATATATTATGTATTAATTATATTTATGTTATATTTTATTTTTTCTATATAATATTATATATTACATCTGACATATTATATATTATATATTATATATTATAAATTATATATTATATATTATATATTTTATTTTATATATTATATATAATTTTATATATTATATACTTTATATTTTTTTAAAATATTGTTTATATTTTTGTATATTATATATAAAAATTATATATCTAATAT